ACCCTGAACAGTCGGGGCAAGTATGGACACTACATTCAAGCTTGATACAGCTCTGAATTTGGATTGTGATTAAATATTTGACACATCATAGGTTTCTGTCAAAGAACAAATGTGGTCAAAGACCTGAAAAAAATGAAATTGGATTTTACCTATTATGGTTCAATATCCAAAATCTAAATACTCGGTTAGATTCAGCATATCCAAGTACACCAAAAATCCAATTCATTTATTTATTAACGGACCATAATATCTTAGTACACCAAGAATTTAATTTATTTATTAAAATCAATTCATTAATTCATTAATTTTGGACCCCAATTTGAACCTAAATTTAATTTTGGATACTTTGGACCTGAATGTGGACCAGTTTGAAAAACGGGCCCTAAATAAAAAATGTGGACCAGTTCGAAAAACGGGCCCAAAATAAAAAATCTAAACCACTGTTAGATTGGGCACATCAAAAAACACCAATAATTCAATTTTTGATGAAATCAAAACAAATTTTAATTTTGGACCCCAATTTGGGCCAACTTTGAAAACCGTGCCCAAAATCAAATAAACTGTTGACACAGAGATATGTCTCCCCTATCGGCATAAAATTCAAAAAAAGACAATCTGATGGACAGCAACATTGCTAATTAATTCAAAGTCGCTGGACCAACTAGTGGGTAGGGTTGATAAACTGAGATGTACAAACAGCAATGTAATTTCATAGAAAATATTGTCAATTGTAAGTAGTTCCTATCAAACTAACTTAATCATAAAACCTAACATTGAAAATTGTTAATTGATTGAAAGTCACTGGACCATGACCTGAGTGGCAGGGCCTTAAAATAGTCGTCAAACTGATATGTACTGATAGTAATGCAACTTCATACAAAATATCATTGATCTATCACAAGTAGTTTCTATCAATCTAACTTAAGCAGAAAAATTAACATTCAAAATTGCTAATTAATTCAAAGTCACTGGACCATGGCCTAGGCGGCAGGGCCTCAAAATTGTCATCAAACTGATATGTACTGAAAGTAATGCATCTTCATACAAAATATCAATGATCTATTACAAGTAGTTCATATCAAACTAACTTAAGCAGAAAACTTATCAATTGTTGACGCCGTCATCGTAGCCCTCGCCGCTGCTATCGCCGGAAAAGCAATCCCTATGTCTCGCTTTCCGTGACTTTCATCGCAGGCAAGACAAATATCTTAAACACTGTAGGATTGGACATATCAAAAAACACCAATACCGTAGAAAGGCTTGTATAGTCCGCGGTTTTATTCTCCAAAATTGGACCTTCCAGACGGGGTGCGGACTATAGAGTACAATAAGCAAGAAATAAGAGAAAAATTTCAATTTCGCGGTCGAGGTGGTTTGTTTACGTTCCGCCATCTTTGTTATTTCTATTGTAGAGGTCGCTCTTATCATTTTTCAAACTAATAATTTTAACTCATCCATATTAATAAGTTATTTCTATTCAATATCAAATTAATACTGATAAATATAAAAACTAAACCTTTCATTACAAATTTCTCGTTTCTTTTCAATGCATTGGTTGAAATAAACTGGTATCTGCTCGATTGAAACGATACAAACATAGTGAAAAAGACAACCGTAAACCAGCTTAGAATTTGTAAACTACAAAACCAAATCGGTTATTGTTCGTTCCGTTTTGGTGTTTCATACTGACTAATATGGTTTGTATTAGCTTAAGACCCTTCAAACATTAATGTGATAGATATATTAAAGACTGTTTTACAAAAGGATGGAACTGTTTTACTTTCAAAGTCGTATTATAGTGATATCTGTTATGTACGGATTTCGACTCTCACCGGTTAATTTCTTCTTTTACACATGCTTTTTAACCTTCCTGTTTAAACATATACAAGTTTCTAAATTGTTTTTTAAGTGAATTAAACTTATTTTAACAATCATGAAGCGTTCTAGAATCATTAACAAGCAGTTTCAGCTTCTGTTTGATGATGGAAAACAGATTTTTCCAAGAAAATACCGCAAACGACCGCACAGGATTTGAAATTACCAGAGTTTCATTAGACCTTTTCTAACAGTTACAAAAAGTTTTTTTTACCTAAAATTTCGTGGGGAGAAGGGGGTGCGGACTATGTACCACTGCGAACTATACAAGCCTTTCTACGGTAATTCAATTTTTGATGAAATCAAACAAAGTTTAATTTTGGACCCTTTGGACATGAATATGGATCAATTCAAAAACAGAGCCCAAAATCCAAATTCTAAATACAATAAAATATTGTTTTTGGCCCCTTTTTTCCTAAACCTTTAGGGTCATCACCCCCAAAATCAATCCCAACCTTCATTTTTTGGTATAACACCTTGTGGCACAATTAAATAGCAATCAATAGACTTATACTCAAGTTATTGTCCAGAAACCAGAAAATCCTAGTATTTTGCCCCTTTTCAGCCCCTAACAGGGTTAGAGCAATGACCCCCAAAATAAATCCCAACGTTCCTATTGAAGTATGGAACCTTGTGGTAAAATTTCATAGAGATCCATACTCTTATACACAAATTATTGTCCTGAAACATGAAAAATGCATGTTTTTTACCCTTTTTTGGCCCCTAATTACTAGACCGCTACGACAATAACCCCTTACATAAATCCCATCCTTCCTATAGTGGTAAGGAACCTTGTGCTAAAATTTAATAGAGATGCATACACTTATACTCAAGTTATTGTCTGTGAACCAGACAAATAATTGTTTTTGTTAGGCTCTTTTTGGTCCCTAATTCCTAAACAGCTATGACAATAACCCCCAAAATTTATTTTCAACCAGTAAAACTGACCTTTTTTGGCCCCTAATTACAAAACCGCTAGGACAATACCCCCCAAAAACAATCCCAATATACCATTAGTGGTATGGAACCTTGTGCTAAAATTTCATAGAGATCCATTCACTTATACTCAAGTTATTGTCTGCGAACCAAAATGTCTTTAGATGCAGATGCAGACATCGCCATAACATAATACGAATGCAAAATATTTTGCGGTTGTATAAAAATGATTAAAATATTATACCATTATGTGTTTTTTTTAGAAATGGACTTGGACACATAGAACTTAAGTATGATGAGCAAGTATGAAAGTAAATGCCCATTTCAAACTCTAGACACGGCTTACTAAAACAAACAAAAATTCAGTAGAACTTAGTATTTTTAATATCACATAATTTGCAGGTTCTTCATCTTGAAGAATTTATTTGAACATTATTTCATTAAATAAAAATAATTAAACAAAAACTGTACAGTTTGATCATAGCACTTAAATACAATTAAGGCAAACAAACAAAACAAAAAAACAAGTATGTGATCTCCAATATGGAGAGGAGATTCGTACTATTTCTGTGTTTTTAATTAACATAAAATATTCTTTATACCGTGCATTATCTTAGACAGGATAGAAAGGAAAGTTTGTTTACCCAGTAATTGAAATAAGAAAGAGGAGAAATAATCATTTACATTTAAATCCCTCCTACAGATGGTTTTCGAAATTCACATGAAATTTTGTGGAAAGTCAGGGATTTTTTTTGGAATTTCTATCAAAGTTTTATACATATGAATATCAACTCTAAATTTCTTACAACACATGCCTCACAACAATATAAAATTTAAGACACAGTCCTTGTGTTATAATTATAATTATGTTCATGTGTAAGAATTCTGCCTTCTTTAAAACAATAAAGAAGTGTATGAAAGATAAGACAAATTCATAACATACTTGTAAATATAGAATTTACTTTTTTCATCATACACTGAGGCTATCATTTACAAACTCACCAGTTATACTCAATTTTTTTTAAAACACATTTAGCTTATTCAACACATGCATGATACTTAAAAAATTAAACAAGAGGGAATCTTTAGCCAGAAAATATTCATGCAGTTATATTCACATTATACTTCATAAAAATTATACCTTATATTCGACAAATTGTTTTGTTGTTAAAAAAGGTTGTTAAGTTTTATAAAATAAAGTGAATAAATCCTCTTGAAACACCTTACAACACAAATGTCAAATGCCGAAACGAAAAAAGTCAAAATCGCAAGAGGAGAAACTGAAGAACAATACCACACAAAATCTTAAGGTAGAAAGTTTTTTCACCATTTCCCCCCCCCCAATTCAAATGACTTTCTTTTGAAATAAAATAAATTATAGGATTATATCTTATGATATTTTTTGTTTACAAATAGATTTTTTAAAATTTTTTATAGAATTTATATTTATGAAGGAATGTACATTAAATTATTTATTTTTTATGTTACCTTTTTATTTTTATTTCCTGGCATATTTTAAGAGCTAACTGCTAATATTTCATTTCAAAATTTTTCCTTTTTGTTTTTTATCTTTTCACATAAAAGTGCCTTTTCCATATATAATCCTTACAAAACTAAGGCAATTTTACACAACCTGTGCCTTGAAAACAAGCTTTGCAACCATACTTTTTATCCTTATTTTTTTAAAACCACAATTTAAACTATATATTTACAAAGTGTGAAAAAAATCTCTATCATTTTGTTGAAACTCCCATAAATTCAAACTTTAAAAATCTATTTGAAATCTCCTTTTTCATTAAACTGAAAAACTAAGGAAAATATATTTATTAACCCATGTATTCCTTATGAATGAACATTCTTTGTTTAATAGTCCATGGCATACATAATGACAAAATATTTCATGCATATTCAGGATGAGAGATGCAATTACGAAACAACACTACTGAGCTATAAATTAAAATTTGTGCAACTCATGCGTAATGCCTGAAGTTTTACTGTGAATTACAAGAGTCAGAAATGAGTATTGCACATTTCCTTAATGATCGAACTACATTTAGATAGCCAAAGTTATATGACCTTGAAGGTAGTAATATGATGTATTTCATGTTAAAGCATTTAAAAGATAGTGGCCAAGTATAATTCAGTACAAAATAAAGTGGAGACTATCATGGGAACAAACAAAATTTACATATAACAAAAATATTTTATTTTCCTTTAGCAACTAAATATTCATTTCAGTCTCAGTAGAAATAAATTTGAGCCAAAATGTTGCCTTAAACCAATTACAGAAAATTGCTAGTCACTGGTATATCATCATTAGAAGTTATCTTTGGTTTCTACCTCAAATCTTACTGAATCATTAACAATGTGTATGTGTGTATAAAGGAGTACACGTTTAGTGCCTATCGGATGTTTAAATTGTTGATGCTAAATGTTGGAAATTATTTAAGTTGTGTGTGTGTACGTATAAAGGAATACAAGTTAAGTGCCTCTAGGATTTGTTGATGTTAAATGTTGGCAATCGGAATAATGAACAATGATTTACAAACTGTTTGATGTAGGACTAATATAAAAAGGAAATGAATATTACATTGATGCTATCCTCTATTTGGCAGTTTTTTCCAGTAAACAAATGAAACTTTTCTACTGCTGAATAATCTACTGTAAAAGTCACTACCGTTACAAAAATGAGTAATAAAGGCAATCTGTTGTACCCAAAACAATGATGATTCTATCAGCAGTCATACATCCAACTTTTTATATAATTTACATGTTCAAAAATACATTAATTTAGCACAAAGGTATGTAATACTGAAACAAATTGGTGATCATAGATGCAGTCAAGAACAGTATGGATTTTAATGTTTATCCTAAAAATATGAAAACAATTCTAAATTGTGTACAAAATAAATAATTTAAGGCTTCAGTTTTTCTAGCTCATCTAATAAACATCCACTGCTGTTGGTTACTGAGTGTAAAATAAAAATTCTTACTCATTTGAAGATTCCGGGCCAACCCTCTTTTTTAAATGGGTTTTGAAACTTTCAAAAGTTGTTGAAAATCTTAAAGTATCCAAAACAAAATCTGTAAATGATAATTAATATAATTTTAGGTTTCAATCATTCAATGTTTGAACTGACATTATTTAGAACACATTGAAATCTTCCTACTCCATAATTGTGTTTGAAGGTTTACATAACACACACAAATCAGATACCTTTCATTCAGATATATATCATAGATTTATAAACACATTACAGCACACCAGTCTGATATTAGCACAAACACACACAATGCACAGACAAAGCACTCAGCTGAAAAATTACACCCTTCAATTCTTTGACGATTGCAGGAAACACTGTAGCTTTTAGAAAACATCTAATGTTTAGATGACATGATAAATAGGCTAATGCTACAGACACCAAGTTGTATACTAATGGATCTTAACAATATGACTATGGCAATGTAAATGTTATTGTAGTTGTTCAACTTTTAGCTAATTTCTTAATTCGTTCAAGTCTTTGTTTTAATTCTGACACATCTGTTGTTGAGGTTGATCGAGGCATTGTTTGGTCGGTCTCTATTTCTGGGGCCCTGATTTCAACCTGAAATCACAAATTTTCACTTAAATAATGATATTTATATCAAATTCACATAATGGACTGATATAATAATCAAAAATATCTGATATTTTTTTTCAAGATAGCCACTTTATCTTTTTGCTATAAATACAATTCATGCTATTACTTACTAATTAATTTTATAATTTCCTTAGGAAAAAAAAGTATAATAAATATTAATTTTGTTTTTCTTCTTTTGTTGTTCTATACATGAAAGTACAGTCAAACCTGTATTAAGCAGTCACTCATGGGAAGTATCAAAAGTGATCACTTAAGGGAAGTGACCTTTTAAATGAGGTTTGAAAAAATTCTGACCCTGACATCGCATGGGGTAAGGGATCGGGGCATATTGATTTAGTGTTGAAGCAGAAATATAAATAAACAGCTGCGCCATGAGCGCATGATACGCCCGTCGTCTTGTGTGTGAATTTTTATGCAATAAGCATAAATAGTTTCTGACATACGGCTTGACATGCGAAAACCCCCTTTTTTTTTAACAAAAACTCAATATCTCCAAAATATAATTTTGAATCAAAACCAAAAAGTATACAGATCTTTAGATTAATATAACTAAGAAGTGTGTAAAATTTTAAGCAATAATCATAAATCGTTTTTGAGATACGGCGCGACATGTGAAAACCCCCCCTTTAAAAAAAAAGAAAATCAATATCTCAAAAATAAAATTTTGAATCAAAACCAAAAAGTATACAGATCTTTAGATTAACATAACTAAGAAGTGTGTAAAATTTTAAGCAATAATCATAAATCATTTTTGAGATACGGCGCGACATGTGAAAAACCCCTCCCCTTTTTTTTACAAAATACTCAATAACTCAAAAATAAAATTTTGAATCATCACCAAAAAGTATACAGATCTTAAGGTTAATATAACTAAGAAGTGTGTAAAGTTTTAAGCAATAATCATAAACTGTTTTTGAGATACGGCGCGACATGTGAAAAACCCCTCCCCCTCTTTTAACAAAATACTCAATATCTCTAAAATAAAATTTTGAATCATCACCAAAAGTATACAGATCTTAAGATTAATATAACTAAGAAGTGTGTAAAGTTTTAAGCAATAATCATAAATTGTTTTTGAGATATGGCGCGACATGTGAAAAAAAACACACACCTGTTTTAGTTACTAAGTCCTGTAACTCAAAAAGTTTTAATCTTATTTTCACCAAAAAGTATACAGATCGTTTGACCATCATAAGAAACAACTATGTTAAGTTTCATGAAATTTGGATAAGTCATTCTCAAGTTACGGTGCGACATGTTTACGCCGGACAGACAGACGGACGGACGGCGGACATTTGTATAACATAATACGTCCCGTCAAAAATTTGACGGGCGTATAAAAATGGCGGAATTCTGGTGCTGAATATTTTCAAATTTATCGCTGTGTAAACTTGGCATTCATTATACTGTAAATCACGAGTATTCACAAAATTGATATGTAAACTGTTTTCACCCTAAAGGTGAAATAACATTATATATGAAATCAGTCTTTTGTGTTAACCGACAGATCACAAGAATGTGCATATTTAATTAAGATCTCTCTGTTTTCATAATAACATAATTGGCTAATCATACGTCATACTCGATATGGGATACTTTACATTTCTTATACGAGCCTCGTATTCAGGACACATCTTATATTTAAACGTTTCCGTTATATTTTTACCTGTAAATTGGCACACAAGCAGTAATCATTTTTGGCACATATTATTACTGCATTTTTTTAAAAGTTGGCGCAAATGCAATGTGCCCATGTCATACCGTTTGACAACACAGCAACCAGTGACAATGACTTGTTCAAAAATGTTAATCAGTGACACTCTATTTATTGTTGTTATAACCCAAACATTTTGCATATAATGTAAAAATAAAATATATTTCAATCACATTTACAGGGATATTTGCACAAATATGCGATTGTAAAAATTGTTAATTCATACCATCATAACCTTCAATTTCAGCATGCAGCAATGTACATAATTTACTTTCCTTGAACCTTGTCCACATTATGTATTTTAGATTTTCGATTATCTCAGTTAATAAAGATTATGTTGTTAAAATCTCTAACCGTTCTATACAGTGATTTTTTCTCATGTATTTTTCCATTCAGCAAAAATTATACACAGTGAAAATTTATCCTGTCCATTTTATCATCAAATTGCTGAAAAAAGCTGACAAGAAAAATACCTGATATACTGTATATTTTTCATCAGGCTTATATTTTGGTTTGTTAAAAACATGAATGTGACCGGTGTTCAAAGTTGAAGTGATGTTTTAGTACTAAAATTAGGTGACTTCTGATCACGTTAGATAAGTGACCGCTGAAAAGAGTTAAATTATATAGAGAAAACGTTTGGGAAGGTCTGAAAATGACCGTTAGAGACAGGTGACCACTGAAACGAGGTGACCGTAAAGGCAGGATTGACTGTATCATGATTTTTTAAAGTTGTTTACTAAAATGTAGAATAGGATAATGTACCTGTATTTCTGGTTCTGGTGATGGAGGTTTTGTTATCTCTGGTGTAATATCTGTGTCTAACTTGGCCTATAACAATTTATTATTAATAGTTTTTATCATTTATCAATAATTTGTACAAAGATTAGTTGTAATGATTTTTGTGTAGCAAATGCTTAATATAATGTGGATTCATTTATTTTTTGTGGATTGAGGTAAAATTGTATTTTCTTGAATATTTGATTTCGTGGTTTTGCCAAGTCTGCAAACAAGCCTAAAGAAAATCTGTACTTTGTTAAACATTTAAATTTATGGTAAACCTTTACTCTTGAAAATTGATATCCCACAATAATAATGAATCCACAGTAAATTGTGCTCTATTAATGACACAAAACACTTACACACAAATATTCTTATGAACAAATACTGATTAGAACTGAATGTTACAATTTATGTATTTGATCATACCTACCAACAATTGAAAATCTCAAAAGGTTGATGTGACATCTTTTAAACATAATCGGGTTTGTAAAAAAAAAATTTACAATGTGCAATGACAAATATGCATTTTTTAAATCTTTGCCATTTACTAAAGAATAATTAAAATGAAAAATAAATAAAATTTTGACTCAATTGTTGGCAATTTACCATTTAGTGCAAAACTGCATGTGCGTTTTAAGTGTATATGACTTGACCTGTAAAATAGAGTTTGTTTTCTATACCTCATTATCTAATCCACATTTGGCTCTTAGTATTTTGAGACGTTCCCTGTAATAATCCACCTGTTGTTTCTCTTGATGCCCTACTGATGAATCATTGGTACTCTGTAGATTGTCAGATCTCACTGAGACTAAAATAAAAGTTACACATTATTAATTTTGCATCAAGTTGTATTTGTCTTTGAACTAGCTTTCAGTAACTGTGATTACTCTTATTTTGGTGCTTTGTGTCTATTGTTTTTATGTAAGTGGTTTTTGTAACTTGTACAGATCTTTTCAGATGCCAAATTACAATTGATTTTTACAGTTTGTTCTAATGTTGAGCTGTTACATCACTGTCCCAGGTTAGTGGAGGGTTGAGAACTCACAAACATGTTTTATGTCACCACATTCTTTATGTGTCTGTCCCAAATCAGGAGCCTGTAGTACAGTGATGTCGTTGATTCATGAGTGTCTTATTTGTTTTTTTTTTGTTTTTTTTTAATAAATTAGGTCGTTAGTTTTCTCGTTTGAAATATTTTGCATTTTTTATGTCGTTTCATAGCCGACTAAACGGTATTGTTTTTTTCATTGTTGAAGGCCAAAGGAGGCCTATAACTGCTAACATCCTCTTCATTTAAACTCTGGTGGACAGTTGTCTCATTGGCAATGATACCACATCTCCTCATTTTTATCAAAATAATCAAAGAGCTGAAAGCTCCAAGTAAAAATGACGCCATTGTCTCTCATATTGGGATATTTTTGATACAAGTCTTGATTTTTACTTAATTTACCTACTGAATCTTAGGCGACGTTTCAATTTATGGTAGGTAGGGTGACTGATAGAATAGATATGAATTGTTTCCACAATCTATAGCGTTTTTATTTGTTTGTCAAGATATATATATATGTGTGTGAAGTGAAAATAACTACTAGTTGTTCTGCTGTACAAAGAAATAACTCAAGACTACCTGAACAATCTACAATATTCAAAGTAATATGTGAATGTGTTTCCCTTATTTGTAGAATTATTTAACAAAATGATTATGAAGAGCCTGTAGTAAGAAAGCTCTTATACCCAACATTATTCAAGAGATAAGTTACAGGTGACCTAGTGACAACATCACATTGTTATTTCATTTACCTAAACATGATCAATTTCTATAGATTTAGACAATAGTATTGTTATACTAGTTTCACAATTATAAACAAAGTGACACCATCTATACAACTTAATTTCATTGTGAAGAGGCTGTAGTAAGCAAGCTTACACTGAAATCTTAAAATGACAACATAAATTATTGCAAAATTATTTTTTTTCAAATGATTTAATGTTGAGTACCATAGTCATTTATTTCAAATAATTGACCCGTAATAAAATAAGGAGATGGGGTGTGATTGCCAATGAGATAACAGTCTGATGTACTATCTACCAGAGTACAAATAATGTGGCTGTTGGCAGTTATAAGTCACTTTCAGACACCAAACCAGTTTATTGTTTTCAGGTACCACAGGAAAAAGAGGAGTTGTGGCCAGGTGCTGCCAGGATTTAAAACTATTAGAATTACACAGTTTTGTCTGCATTCAGAGAAAATTTCATGGTGTAAACACAGCCATTTTTGTTGGTGTATATTAGATGAACCTTTAAGGTGGATTATCAGATTATTGGTCACAGGAATATTAAAGTGACTGTTGACTTTTCAAATATAAAAATATGCACAAAGAAGGAAATATATCTGATTCCTTGTGAAAATTAAAAGATAGAACATTGTACTTTAATTGATTTGGTAATTTAATTTCAAGAATCATGTATGATCTGTTACCATAAGGGAGCTACCATTTGATTTTTAAGGGGGGGCTAGGATGAAATTTGAAAAAAATAATCAGGACAGGAGTTTTGAGTAAAAAAAAAGGCAGGATGAGACACTTTGCAAAAAAAAAAGGCAGGATGACAATTTATGTAAAAAAAAGTCAGGATAAACTAACAAAAAAAAAGGCAGGACCGAATAGAGTGAAAAATAAAAAGGCAGGACAGAGATTACAACTAAAAAAAAATGCAGGACAAATTTTTTCATCCTAGCCCCCCATAAAAATCGAATGTAGGACAGAAAGTCACAGGACAAAAAGTCACGGACAAAAAGTCACAATTCAGTTTTGAGATTATTTTTCTTTGAACAAGAAAAAACTAATTTAAAAAGAAATATTTTGGTTTTTTTCTTAAACTATTATGTATAAAGCAACTTTGTAATTAAAATTTATGCAATAAATATTAATAATGATCAAATAATTGCTATGAAAACAAAATGTCAAACAGGCTTGATCCTTAAATGGCTTCATGGTGCCAAGAAATATATCCTTTGCACGATTAAAATTTAATAAGTTTTCATTTATCAAGGCTTATGAACAATTTTCTAAGCTTAAAAATGAATAAAAAGAAAATATTTCAAGATCTTTCTCTTATATATTCAAACAATTGTCAACAAACTATTTGTGACTTTTTGTCCTGTGACTTTTTGTCCTATCAAATTTGTGACTTTATGTCCTGTGACTTTTTGTCCTGTGACTTTCTGTCCGTTTACCTAAAAATCAAATGGCAGCTCCCTAAGTGTAAAATTTGTCCATTAGCTACTGTTTATTATGTTTATGGTTGAACTGTATCTTTGAACTTTGTCAATCAGTCATGATTTACTTCTTAAGCTGTGTAAGAACCTTCTTGTAATTGAAATTGGTCTGCCATGATCACGATTTCTACAATATTCTGAGTTCCTAACAAGTTAAAAATTTAGCACATTTGCAGTTGTCTCCCTTGGGAAAAGTTTGAGGAAAGTTCGAAATATTGGGAACAGTAGAATTTAACAAAATCGTGGTTTAGAGGTTTTTACACGATCACAATCGTGCAATCGTGACAAGGGGTCAAAATCGAGTATTTCACGCCTGAATCGTGCAAGTTGGCAGGTATGACAGGTTAAGAAATTAAAGAATGAAAATTACAAATTTAATTCTGTTACAGTTGTATTTCCAACAATATGATTGAAAATTGTCCGACGGTCATGAAGGTTAATGACCGCCATTTTGTACACAACAAGACATATTGAAGGGAGACGACACCATCTGTTATTTTAAAATGTACATTTGCAACGCTGGAGTTGTCTTTCTTTTACCAATGTATGAGCATACTAACATTCACTTTAAGTATGTAAAATACGGAACCGAGTTCCGAATGCGGGTTGGAAGTCTGGTCAATGGTAAAAGAAAATTGACTGCGTCATTTTCTAAAAACAAAAATCAAAATAACATGAAAAACAAATCAATTACAATAGAAGGGTTGGTTGGAATCCTTTACAAATTTTCATTTCTTTATTCTTCACTTTGCTATAGATTCCCTTTTTAACTGAGAAAAAAAATTTATTACCTCCAAAATCTGACGACACTTTTCCTTCTCTCTCCTGCTCAATATTTTTAAGACCTCTTTCTATATAGTTTTGGAAGAAATTAGATGACTTCTTCAGAAATGGTTCCAGATCAGCATCAGGATACTTCTTCTTAAAGTCGTACAAGTCATTCAGGCCCTAAAACAGATTTAAGGAATTTTATCTATATCTAAATCATAAACTGTTATCACAGAGATATGTCTCACTTTTTTGTAATTTTGATAATGCAAATGTTGAAATTAAACTAGAGGCTCTCAAGAGCCTGTGTCGCTCACCTATATTTACTGATGCTTTGGAAATCATGTAAAATAAGGTTAAAATCATAATTAATATTATTAGATATCAGATATTATAATGATATCTAAGATAATAACAAAAAACTGCAAAAGTTTTGTAAAATTACTAACTGAGGGGCAGCAACCCAACAACAGGTTGTCGGATTCATCTAAAAATTTTCAGGGCAGATAAATCTAAATCTGATGAACATTTTTGCCCCCTGTCAGATTTGCTCTAAATGCTTTACTTTCAGAGATATAAACCAAAAACTGCATTTTACCCCTATGTTCTATTTTTAGCCATGGCGGCCATCTTGGTTGGTTGGCGTGGTCATCGGACACATTTTTAAAACTAGATACCCTAATGATGATTGTGGCCAAGTTTGGTTAAATTTGGCCCAGTGGTTTCAGAGGAGAAGATTTTTGTAAAAAGCTAACGACAACGGACAACGACGGATGCCAAGTGATGAGAAAAGCTCACTTGGCCCTTCTGGCCAGGTGAGCTAAAAAGCAATACTTTCAACATGTAAGTTATGCAAATATTCAAAGTCAATGAACCATGACTGAAGGAACATGGCTAAACAATCTCCATGGAAATGAGATGTACCAATGCTAATACAACTGCAAACCAAAAACCATTGACTTATCATTAGTCATTCCCTTTAAATAAACCTAAACACAAACATTAACTTGTAAACTATGTAAAAGTTCCAAAGTCTATGAACCATGATGAGGAGTAGGAGCTATATAATCTCCATGGAAACGAGACTTGCAAATGCCAATACATTTGCATACCAAATATCATTGACTTAACATTAGTGGTTCATCTGAAACTGATCTAATAACAGACTAATACATGTAAACTAAGAAAAAGTTTCAAGTCAATAGACCATGACTGAGGGGGCAGGGCCAAATATTCTCCATGGAAATGAGATGTGCTAATGCTTAAACAACTGCATACCAATTAACATTGGTACCACCATACCACTAATGGTTCCCCTTAATCTGACCTAATCACAAACTAATACATGTAAACTAAGCAAAAGTTTCAAAGTCAATAGACCATGACTGATGGGGCAGGGCCAAATAATCTCCATGGAAATGAGATATGCCAATGCTTATACAACTGCATACCAAATATCAATGACCTACCACTAGTAGTTTCCCATAAACTGACCTAATCACAAACTAATACATGTAAACTAAGCATAAGTTTCAAAGTCAATAGACCATGACTGAGGGGGCAGGGCCAAATAATCTCCATGGAAATGAGATGTGCCAATTGCTAATACAACTGCATACCAAAAATCACCACTAGTGGTTCACCACAAACTAGACCTAGTCACAAACTAATACATTGTTGACGCCGCTGCCGCCGGAAACAGCATACCTATGTCTCGCTTTTTGACTCCGTCAAGGCGACACAAAAATGAAGTTTTATGAAATGTACGATGCTAAATTATTTTTTTTGAAGAGTTTTCTGCACCTTTCAGCCACGTGGTTGAAAAAAAGTTAATAAGTGATCAAGATAAAAACTCAATATTTTGTGCATGCAGAAAGTTATGTTGTTGTTAAGTCCTCTTTGTGCATGTTTATCCATAAGGTCATCATACAGAACAATGAAGACCAGCCATTATGTTCTGCAGTCATTAGCGTGTAATTTTTTTTAAGAGAATTAGTCAGTTACTCAAATGCATGATAAATGGTTATAATGAGGAACACTCTGATTCACTGGTCAGAGTTACCTAACTGTAGTTTTGACGAAGTCTTTGATTAATTAATGGTCTTTTTCATTTTTTATCAATTTCCATAGTTTTTCATATAGTAGTCACAGCATGTATTTTGCCATTGGAAGTTAAACAACAATGAATCAATCACGATAAGTATTTATTTTCTGTGTATATATAATATGCATTTCACGAAAATAGAAATTTATGTAGAGTACTATTTGAGCAAATTTGTAGGTCCATGAACAATAAATTAGAACAAATTACAAAATTTTCTACTTTCGCAGTATACCAACAAATTTACAATCTTATTATCCTTAAACAGTCTTTATTTTAACTTACCTCTCTAGTATTTTCTTTGGATCCAATCTTTTTAAATATCTCTGCTAATATGTCATGAGTATTCTTATTCAATTTCTTTGGTTTTTGGGTACTCTGTAAAGAAATATTATAAATACCTCAGTCCCATACAAGCATAGATCATCATACATATGTCTAGGAATGTCAAAATTTACTTCAATGAAAAACAAGAAGTTGCATGAGTTGGCATGTTTATAACAAACAGTAAGTTGGTGTCTGACTCATCTAAAAAGTGCTCACATATTACAACTTACAACTTATCACAGTCAAGCACCTGACCAAATATGAAGTTATTCTGTTCATTAGTACATGAGAAAAGTGTGACGAAAATATTTGTTGGACAGACAGACAAAGTGTATGCAATATAGCCCCACTCCTAGGGTGGGGTATAACAAAGTAGCCTTCACTCGTAGAATGGAGGTATTATACATAATAAGGATGTCATTTAAGTAGCATGTAGTCAAAATCAAATTGTTAGTTTTTTACATGTGCTATTTATTTGGAGTTCAATTTAGAAAAATACAATAAAATAATTTGTTTTTCTAAATGATCAGCCTTTAACCAGCTTATTTCAATTATTGAAATCATAATCAGATATAACATTTTTTGGGTACCTTTTAGTTACTTTATCAAGAATGTTCTTTTCAAGATGTAACAAATCACTGTTTCCAGTTTTACAACACATTAATTTGTGAATTAATTGGTTTTTATTTCAGTTTTGTATATTTTCTCCATTCATATAACATATTATATCAATAAATTGATCGTACAGAATATCTATACTAACCCTAGGAGTTTTCTGTTCTTCATTCCATTCATTCTTGGCATTAGGATCGTTGTGGAGAATTTTCTGTAGGTATGCCTTTACTTCAGAATTCTCAGCAGATTCAATTGAGCCCATATGTTGTATAATCTGAAAGGATAAAGAGCCCATTAACAAAATTAAATACCCAATATCATTGGATTACTAAATCAAGTGCAAATTTTTCACCTTTAAATTTCCAATTGTAACAGTATTAGGTTTGTCCATTACTGAATTAGAAATTTTTGAATTTTGTATTTAAAATATATTTTACACACACACTAAAAAATTGCCTAGAATAGCAAGAAAAAGCTCAACTAAACCAGTTTTCATAATTTTTTTACAGTAAATATTGGGCAACATGTTCACAATTAACAATATTCAAGGCTCTGATATTCCTGTTCACAAAAAAAATTTCTCTATTCAACATTTTTTCATCATTTCATGAACAACTTAAATCTACAATGTGTACTTACTTTTGCCCCTTTTAACTTGACTAAGGAATGTAATACTGTTTTAACTGTCCTCAATGGCAGATCACTTGGTCGATTCTTCCATGACGTACTTGGGAATTCTTTTAGAAACAAGTGTGTATCCAGTAAGATTCTGTCTAGATTCAGATCATTTATTATATCTGGTAACATTCTTATCATTTTCCATACACACTGGAATAAGAAAGTAATAAAACTAAATACTGACCTATCAATATTAACTTTTTTATTAGTAAAAGAAAGTCACAAACAAGAATATGTGTCCATAGACCACAATGACCGGCTCACACTATCACATTTCAATGTTCAGAAAACTATGTCTGGGTAAAATTTGGCATATATTTAAAAAGTTCACTTCATTATACCATGTGCATACTAAGTTTCTAATTGATGTAACCACAAACTACTTAACCAAAACTTTAACTCGATATGGGACAATTGTACATGCAGATAGGAAAACATTATAGAGGTTATTTTTAATGATAAAAAATTTAATTTATATGGGTTTTTTTTCTTTCCTCAATCACACATCTGGATTTGTTATGAATTAGTTATGGTCTGAAATGTGTATCTACTCATAATTTCACTGCTTTTTGAAAATAAATGGGAAAACTGTTGTAAGCTTGCATCTGAAAACAAATTTTGTAAACAGTTTTAGAGTGCAGCTTTTAAAATATTATTTTATTGTCATTTTGAATGTGATCTATAAATGATAGCAGCTGTCTCAGATGGTTTATGTTATAACAATATACCTTCATAATTAACTCTATAAACTTCACAGTACATGTTTCACTAGTAACACAATCTTGTAACAGTCTGATCAATGCACTGAAATCAAAAACATAATGATGTAAAGATGTAACTAACTGATAAATTTTCCTTAGAGTAGTGATAATAAACTCCTGCTATAAAAAAACCCATTTTAATTCTAACCAGATGATAGTGATTGGTGTAGTCACAAAGGACTCTTCTTCATTCAAATAACTTAATTGTGATGTAAGTAATCAGAGTTGTTTCATTTAAACATAGGTTATACCCATAGAAGGCAGAAATTTTACTATAAATGCACCACTAGAAATTTTTGATATTCAACTTTTATATAGAATTATGTTCAAATTTTAACATTGAAATATCCACTAGAACAGAGATGGAAATATCTGTGAAGTTTTTCACCATGACCTTCAATGTACCATTTTTATACATTTACCTTAATTGGCATTGTAAAGTCTGCACTGGTACATTGTCCGCATCCCCCTTTTCGCCACCGGGAATTCAGGAAAACTTTTTTAACTTGTAAAAAAAGTCTATTGGGAACTCCAGTAATTTCAAAGTGTGTGTGATCGTTTGCGGTATTTTCATGCAAAAAGCTGTTTTTCATCATCAATTAGAAGTTGAAAATGCTTGTCATTGATACTTGAACACTTCACAAGTGTTAAAATAAGCCAAAATCACAGGAAAAACAATTGCAAAAGTTGTAAGGGATATCAGAATCGAATGTGTAAATCGCAAACAAATACGATGAGTGTGTTGAAAATCCTTACTTAATAGATATCACTAAAGAATACAACTTTAAAACTAAAATAGTTCTGTCATTTAGTGAAATACTGTTAGAAATATTCATCACATTAATGTTTGAAGAACCTTTAAACACATGCAGCAGTATCAAACACCAAAAAGGAACAAATAACCGATGTTTTGTAGTTTATACATCGTTATGTTTAAGCTGGTTTCCTGCCGACTTCTTTTACTTTTTTCATAGCGTTGTATACAAGTGGTTTCTAGTATAAATTATGCAATGCTATGAAAAGAAATGAAAAATTTGTAAAGAAACATTTGATTTTGATAAGTATCAGTTAATATTGGATTTTTAAATAAAAATTGCATATTGATATGGATTAGGTAAATGAATAGTTTTGAAAAGAAATAAGGGCACCCTCTAAAATATCAACAAACATGGCGGACGTAAACAATCATCACGGAATCAAGTTTTTCTCCTATTTCTTGCTTATAGTACTCTATAATCCGCACCCCTGTCTTAATTTTGGAGAGAAATAAATGGGGAATGTGTCCTTGGGACACAGATGATGCCCCTGCTTGCATATAACATTATAAAGGGATATTACTCAAGAACTGTAAAAGTGACGCTACCCAAATTTGTACTTGATCTGAGTTTTGTGGTAATAAACATTGTTTATAAGTTTCATAACAATTTGTTGGGGCAAACTTAATTTTAGAGAACAGAAACGACAAATTCAGCAATTTTTCCATTTGTACAGGTGCATAATTCTAGAACGGTATAAGTGACACCACCAAAATTCGAACTTGATCTGTGTTTTGTGGTAATTAGCATTGTGCACAAGTTTCATCACATTTGGTTGAGGGAAACTAAAGTTAATGAAAGGAAACCAATTTTGGGACGTACGTACAGACGGACAAGGATTCATGATATATGCATGGATCTAGGCTCATATTTTGTCAAACGATCATGAGGAAACAGAAGTATGTATTATCTTATCACCTAAGAGCTCCGACCTAACTTACCTTAGTACACTAGTGTGATCAGCATGCTCCACAATTTTCACAACCATAACATTAACAGTACGTATGACCTGTGCTCCTTCCTCCAGACTAGTCAGTCTGTTATCTAACAGAATTGTTATTAAACTATTGACTAGATCTTTTAACACATCCTTAGAAGCTTTCTTTGCCAGGGATGAATTCTGGAAAATCTGTGGTAAGATACATCATTTTTTTGTAAAAAAAAAGGTGCATTTAAATTAATCAGAACAAATATCAAATCAGTGTTAATTGGAGCATGCCAGAAAGACAATATTTTTTCAATGCTTTTTTCCAAAGACTTCAAGGATTCTATCATATTGAAGATTTACTAGGTATTGGTTCACTTGTCTATTTTTGTTTTGTTTTTGGTGAATCTAAAAGTTTCTAAACAAATCTCTGTAATTCACTATTTCAGTTTGATCATAGATTTCATCTAATAAATGTATGACCCTAATTTAAAGTATTTATTAATATTACCTTAGTGATACCAAATTGCGAAGATTAATCCAACAATTAAAAAGAATGACCTACCATTTCTAATTGCCAAGACAGAATGATTTACAGCTAACAGTGCAAAACATACAATAATACACCTTACTCATATTTACTTGTAAAATTCATTACTTATGTGTGTAGAGTAAACTTACCGCTAATAGAGTGCCAAGTAAACACCTATACAACCGAGTTACATCGTCTTTACTGGTAAATTCACTACTCATGTGTGTAGAGTAGACCATCTTTATTTGCATGGACATAGACAGTAATAGCTGGTCGACATGGTTACTTAATACTTCTGCCTTTTCTTCATCTTTAAGAACCTCATCTATCTGTGAAATATCAACAGAAAATTGTCATATCAATATTTGAAATTAAGATGTTTGCTAAGATTTTCTGAACTGATAATTTGTAAGTCATTTTTTATTTGAACAACCCAAGCTGTTTGTTTTCACTATTATCAAATTAAAATCCCACCCAACCCCCAATGCATTATAAAGATTATTGCATTATAGAACCAGTTCAGACTTTTTAATTTTCATATTCTGGTAGTGGTATAATTGATTGATGTTTGATGTTCAACTGCAAATAGTAAATGCATATTTAAGACAATAACATGTGTTCATGAACCCAGTCTTGTTCTATAAAAATAGGGTGAGTTACATTTCTAGCACATTAACAGTCTGCAGGAGGAACTTACCCAACACTGATACATTACTTTTACTCTTACTCTTATATGCTATGGGTTCAGCTTAGAAGGGACAACTACTAATTTTAAAGTATTTAGTTTAAATAACTCAAGAGATCGAACCCACAACTTTTATAGATACTCAAGACAAGTATGATATTATGAGATACATGTAACAATGGCAGTGGTAAAAACATGAGAACATGCACACAATTCTACATTTAAATTAAAACATGTAACACGAAGTAAAATACCTGAGTCAAGGCTTGTATGCACATTGTTATATCTGATGTAGTTATTTGTGAGATCACCATAGCAACAGCAGCTGATGCATCATGGGAATTCATATTTCTCATAGGTGAAGCTGGTCTGGCTCTATTTCTACAAAGCATAGATAAAAGAAGTCTAAATTATTGAAAACTTCAAATCACTTTAAATTTCAAAGTTTTGTTTATCCTCAGTCTTTGATGATAGTACCAAGATAATATATTACCCAGTTGCAAAAAAATCTCCAAAAAATGATGTATTTAAAAAATAATGCAGACTGCAATCTTGTGTTGACATATATTGTGAACAGAAAACAATTGGTTCTTTTTTCAGTGAATTATTTGAATATCATTATCAACATAGTTGCAATGATCTATCCAAAAAAGTGTTGCAATGTATTTTTAAAAGAAAAGTAAAGACCTTACCCAGCAGATGGTAGTGACACGGGTTGAAACAGTTCATCAAGATCATACTGGTAAAGTTTTGGCATTTCTGGCTGAGACATTTGGTCATCGTCAACTTCCAAAGCAAACTCTTTCTTCACAGAGTTAGACGAGGCAGACTTAGGCATGGCAGTGTTTGGCCTTTGCATATTTGATCTTAAATTGAATGAAGATTGAACAATCAATAAATCCTGAAAATGTGCTTCATGACATTAAATGTAACAGTAGTACAGAATAAAATACTACTACAATTACTACAGGCTGTGAAAGTTGTTTCTTATGTTATATATTCACTGCATCACATCCACCTATTATCCTATAACTTTACACAGGGATTTTATTATTTATCATTGAAGCAATACAACTTTTTAAATCAAAAGCAGCAATTCTGAATTGGTGTAAAATATATCCATCATATAAATGATTTTCTTGAGTACAGGGTTCAAAAATTACCACAATCATTCTATGGAAATAAGTTAAGACAAGAGAATTAAAATTATCAGTTGCTCCATGGCCGACTCAGATTTTTTTTGGGGGGGATGGGGTTGTTCTTTTTGGTAACTTTCACATGTTTGTTCTTTAAGTTACACAAAATTTCAGTAACTATTATGTTACAGAAACATTGTTGAGTGGTCCCTTTGTTGTTCCAGTTGTTTAAGTAAAACATTTTTTTTAGCAAATTTTTCTGCATTATTGATTGACTGATAATTTTCCCAACTATCGCTGATATGAAAAAGTTGTTTGTTTGGTTTTTTTTATATTAATAAAAGGTAAATATTTCATTTAAAACATATATGAACAATAATCGTGTGGAATCCAAGATAATTTGTTCATGCCTGTAGATTCTCAGGAGTAAATACATAATCTGAAATCAGTGCAATACCAAAACAAAGTTCTGTAAAACAATAGAAGAGAGAAATGATTTAATTGACCTATCTATGATTTTAAACAGACTGAATCTATACTTACTGTGAAGGAGCTTTTTGAGGTTGTGGAGCTGTACGAGGTCGTTCCTCAACAGCTGCTTGAGCAGGTTTATTCTTCATGGCTCTCTTTATTCTTTCATCCAACATGCTTTGGTCTTTCTCTTTTAACTGAAAAATTCAAATGGAATTGTATAGATATCTTCCAAGACATCATATTATTCACAGATAAACTGTAACACCAGTTTATATTTACTGGGGATTCATTTTTTTTTCCGTTGGATTCAAATTTTCATGGATTTTTTGGGTACCGGAGAACCATGAATTTAAATATTCAACAAATTACAAATTTTCTATAGGAATATATGCTGACTTTATCAAAACCATGAAATCAAATATCTAGGAAAAGGGAAGTTTTTCGTCAATCCAAGAAAATTGGTACCCACAAAAATAAATGAATCCACAGTATTATATAGATCTATAATAGGATAATTGGTTTTTATTGAAAAATATTATGAATAATCTACTATTGAAAATTAAACTTAGTTTAATTGCATTGTTACCTATTCATTCAAATGAACTGTCTAGTTGTTGGTTAAAACATTTATGGCTTTCGTTTTAGCGTGCAATATTTTACAAGGTTTTAGGTAATGCCACATGATTTTTGGTTTTAATAATAAAAAATCATAATTTCTTTTTCTTTTAAATGTTTCGTTGTGAGTTAATCTTTCCTATATTCATTGATATTAAATAAATTAATCCAATTCCCAACAAAAGATTCTTTTAATTGTAAATTATAGAAGTCAAGTTTCATTATTCTTCTCTCAGCACTTGAAGCTCTAACCTCCACTTTATTACTACTTACTGAGATGTATTTAAAGAGTTTATCTTGTAATATCATATAAGCTACAACAGTGGTGTTGAGTGCTGCATTCCTCACGCCATTGTCCTTATCACCTATATTACCAGCTATTGTTTTGAGAGCCTGGGCTGGAGTTGGCTGACAGATATTAATGCCATGGCTTTCAATCAAACTGCCTAATTCTTCTAAACATTCTGGAAAAAAAAAGAAACTTTCTTTAAACAAGCATTCTGTGAGTATTGCATGGCAATACATAGTCCCCTACCAGTTACAAATTCATTGAAATGGAACGAAATTCTAACTTGATCTATAACTTGTCATGGTGTAAACTACATAAAAATATCAAGTCAAAATCTTTAAGCATGACGAAAAAAACTGTTGAAAACTGATTATTTAAGTGAATTTTTTATGTCCAAAGACCATAACTCTCGTCAGTAGGGGACTAATTAAGTACATACAAGATAAAACTTCACATTAAATATTATTCACAGATTCCACAACATAACAAATCTGATCAAATAAAACAGTCTATAATTACAAAAAAATTTTCTCAGATACATTGAAAAAAAAAATTTCAATCTGACATAATTTTTTTTAATTGAATAAATATCTATTAAGATTGAGCAATATATACTTGTTTAAAAATTTATGAGTCCATTTAATTTCTTTGTTCTTCACTATATTTGTTGTAAATATACTTTTTATCACATAAACTAAAAGAACTTTTCTTCTATTTCATTATACAATTTGCAGTATGGAGTAGAATAACAAATGTAGTACTAACCCATTCTCTGTTTGGAATTCTTAGACTTGAGACCATCAATAAGATAGGTAAACATTTTACTAGCAGGATACACTTTACATATCAATTTAAATATACTTCTAACTTCTCTCCGAACATTATCTTTATTCTCTCCAACCTAAAATCAGTAAATACACATATCAGTGAACCTATACCACTAAATACATACATGAATTAATCAACTTAAAATAATAAAACTTTTTTTAAGGGCTATCATAGAAAAAAATATAGGGGGGGGGAGGCACTTGAATTATTTTTGTATTGGTGGGGGCAGGTCACAAAGTTCATATTGTGTGGTTATGTATGCAAAGTAAAATACAATTGTATGAGTGATGGCCATACAAAAAAATGCCTTCCAACCCCCTATATTGTATTTTCTGGAATAGCCGTAAGCTTTTAACGTAGCTTCTTTGTACTTAAAGTTTATTTTTTTACTTTAAGTTACTATGTTTCAGACTGTCAGATCATTTTGGTTATACAGTGTGTTACCAGCATAAACAAATTATAGAACATGTATCAATTAAAACAAATATATAATAAACTATTTATACTAAGGTTTACCTTTATAATGAGGTATGGAATAAAAGATGAGGCTTCCAACTCCACCAGGTGATAATCTTCATCCGATAACATGGTGAATACTTCACGTACATATTCCATGGCCTTGTTTAACATGCTAGGGTTGGTATCAAAGAATCGAATGGTGAACCACTTCAATATCAGGTCAAGGTTTCCAACAGTTTCATCATGTAGAGTGTTTATACACTATAAAGGAAATCATATTGCATGTATCTCAGAATGAATTTCAATATTTTCCAGAGGTTTATACAATTCCTGTGTTCTTAAATCACCATCAAGTTATGCTGACCACTGTTAAATTATTTTTGTTCACCATTAATCATTTGAAAATTAAGGGCATACGCTAACGTAAAATGTTATTTTCGCGATGTCAAAATGTGACATATCGGGAAAAGATGCATTTTTAGACTGATTTTTATCATTCAGACTGATTTAACTTTATAACAAGTTCATGGACCCCTCTTTTTTTAAATGACATTAGGTTTGATTACGTATGAAGAATACTTGTACCAATTTCTATGAAAAAGTCACAGTTGATTTTTTTTTAAATTAGATAAATATACAGCCAAAAATGCCTTTTTTTTCTAAAATCATGAAACTTTGATAAAAATTAATTATTTCCAAATAGTTGTTACACAAATTTAGAGCATACTCATGTAAAGAAGATTTTCCAAATGTTTTTACAAAAATTTGCTTGTGTTTATCTTTTGAAACAAAAAAGTTAGGTACATGTATGTCTATCCAAAGGATAGAAATGTAAAAAAAAATGAAATTTTGAGTAAACGTCTAAAATTTCGACCCCATTTATCTCTTAAAGAAGCACATGAAGGTATGTTTTTTATTACATATTTGAATCAACTAAGTGAAAAATAGCTTGTATGCAAATTTTCGTAAAAAAAATCACTGTAGGATCAAAACTGTATCGTATGCCCTTAAGATATTATAAGTCCCCTTAAAACGATTCCTTTGATGATTGTTGTTTGAAATAATTAAAACATTACTTTTTTGGGGGCTAAAATGGGAAATTCATCAAAATTTACTGATCATTATATAATCAAATCCAATAAATCTGCCATGTTACAAGTAATTTGAAGCAGGATTTTACATGTTAGTGTGTGACATATGGTCTCTTGATCATTGTAAATGCAGGAAAACCATTTTAGACCCTAAAAAAAAGATGTGTAGGAGTTCCCCTAGCAAGGCTAACCTTCCAGATATATAGCCTTGAAATGTTAAGTGGAGCATATCATTTTCTTCTTCAGTAATTAATTGTATTTACAACCTTGCTGAAAAACACAAAGGCCCACTGTCAAACTACAAAAGTGGAAATAATCAGCAAAAATGAAAATCACAAAACACAAAGGGAACCAGTCATTGATCCATCTTATCCTTGTGCTGAAATATTGTGAGAATCAGTCTAACCAAAATTGAGTTCTTGTATGACTAACGAAGATGATGATTAGGCATTTTAAAAAAAAACAAAGTCCCATAAAGGCAAATAAAACAAGAATATGTCCATAGTACACGAATGCCCCACTCACACTATCATTTTCTATGTTCAGTGGACCGTGAAATTGGGGTCAAAACTCTAATTTGGCATTAAAATTAGAAAGATCATATCATAGGGAACATGTGAACTAAGTTTCAAGTTGATTGGACATCAACTTCATCAAAAACTACCTTGACCAAAAACTTTAACCTGAAGCAGGACAGACAGACGGACGAACGGACGCACAGACCGAAAAACATAATGCCCATAAATGGGGCATAAAAATCATCAAAGTAACAAAGAACCGTCATTTTATAGATGTACACACTATACAAGAAAATGATTGAAATCTGTAGTGGCAATGTTGACTTATTATACCACATAGAAAGTGCTGACAGATGGACAGACAATGACTAGAGTAATTACTATATCTCTTCACTTGTCGCTTGGGACCTAGTAAAATGTAACTAAGTAATAGGAATATAACTTTAGCAAACTGTAACTTATTTTTTTTACCTTCATTAAACTCTCTATTGCTTTTATATGTAATTTGAAATCACTTTGAAACATTTGGTCAATGATTGTTTTGGTGAAATTCTTCTCCATCTGAGTTCTCAGCTGTTCTATAAATTCCCCTCTCAGCTCAATGAAGTTCCATTTGAGTACCTATGTATGGATAAAATATCAAAGTACTTAAACATCAAAACTATTAGAACCTTTCTAAGTTGTTCCCACATTTATAATGTCATCAATTATATTTATTTTATTTTGAAACTGTACTATTTGCAGTCAAATTGCATTGTTTGTATAAATGTTGGCTTTATATAGTCACTAGTTGTATAAGACCTTGTTTGTAAAATTGATAGTGTGTTTCCGTAGAGTTTCATTTGGAACAGGTTTAAAAGTTGCAGTATCAGTCGATTTGAAAAGCTAACTAGAGCTTGTGTTTATGTAGTTGATTGAATATTGAAAATTTAAATAAAACTTTGATTGAATTGAATTGAATTGAAGTATAAGGAGAATAGCTAAACATTGAAACAAGATAGAAATGCTTGGCACAGCTTGTATTCTATAACACCTGTTCTAAGACTTGTACAAATAAATTTTATATTTTGAGAGTTGAGACAATGTAAAGTTATTCTATATAGCGCAGAGATAAAATCATGATTTACTAGAAATCCAAATTTTAAAAAATAACTGTTTTGTGGGTTTTAAAAATTATATGGTGTTCAGAATGTTTGCAATGTTTTTATTATTGAGATGGCATAGGTATTAAAGAATTAAAACTCGCATTTAACATTTTGATGGCATTTACTGAAATTGTAATAAATATATAGAATGAAATTGTAATAAATATATAGAATGAAATTGTAATAAATATATAGAATATCTCATTTTTGTCCATTCTTCAAAAATCACAATAATAAGGCATGCAAATATTCTGATTCTACAGTATACAAACATATACATTTGTAAATGTAAAAATGGATATAATTAATAATATTCTGAGCAATTGTTTCAAATTTTAATTCCAGAGATAGAATCTTAAAAAATTTGCAGACAAATGATAATTTACCTTCAGAGCTTTTTCCTCTTTAAATCTCTGTTCTTTAGTAACAGTAAGTGTCATCAATGGACCTGTATCCTCATCAGCCTTCTTCTTTTTACTGGTTGCTGGTGGAGGAGCCTGAAAAGTAAAACAAATATTTTCCTTTATAGTCAATTTGGTTCAACAACAAGGGTCCGGAAACGGTCATATTTGCCAGTCATGTCCTAAGATGAAAGCTATATGTCCTAAATGAGTAATTGGGATTTAGGACAAATTTAATTTTTTAACAGAAATAATTTCAGTCATTTCATTGACTTAATGTTTGAAATCGTGTTTCTTGATCGCCATTTTCCACTTGTGATCACTTGTTTTTGTTTATAATCCCTTTCCTGTAATAAAACTGCCACTCCAGTAGTTTGATAATCCTGAGGGCTCTCCTGTGGTTTTAATTCACACCTGACAATTGATCACATTGATCACAAGCTCAGAATAATATCTTTAAGAAATTAAAATTCCCTGACAAGTGTATTCATTATTTAATTACTTTCAGCAAAGACAATCATCAATTCTGATTTAAAAATAAACCTTACTTTAATTGACGTAGAAAAAAGTTTTTTTTCATGAGTGACACATGTGCCTTATTTACTATGTATTACGCATGCATGAAATTGTCTTCAGCAAATTTTAAAATATTTAATCGTAAAATGCAAATTGATTTCATGCTAAAATAAACGAGTGCAACTATAATCTGTTATATTCAAACACTTTTAAAGGTAATAAAATAAAAAGAAGCCGATGATTTCCTGTCAATTTGATAAACAAAACGAATCCCGGAAATGAATCCGGAATTATTCGTACTTTAATATTATCCCAAAACTTCAGGTTTTAATTTTGTCGAATCGAAAGAAACGTAAGCAATGTCTGAGAAATTAACCATTTTGAGTCATTAAAATCATTTCAATTTAATATGTTGCCTTCCCTAAACTGTTCTTGAAGGTTTTTAGAAAAATGGTAAGATTTACTTAGTAAATGCGATGAAACATCAATACAAGTTCGTTGATGCTGTGAATCTAATTTGACATCGACAATTTGAAAGGAGCACCAACTTTTCAATCATCTCAAAATAACCGAAATTGTGTGAAAAAATTTCCGGATCCTTGTTCAACAACATTTCCATCTTCACATGCATTAAAAAGTGATATTAAATATTATAAAGTTGGTATGAATTTAGGAGATATAAGTTTTCCTTATAATAATATTGATTAAAATACTTTTTTTTTAATAAGTGTGAATATATTATAAGATGTTATGAGAAAGTGACTTACTGCTTTTCCTTTAGCTTTTGTTGTCTTTGCTGGTTTGGAATCCCCCGAATCTGACAAGGCAGCAGACACAGGTCTAGATTTAACTGGTTCTGGTTCGTCGTAATCATCTTTGACTGGTTTACTGACAGCAGATGATGAAGCAGCTTTCTTGGCTTTCACAGGTTTAGCTGGTAGATTACCTCTGGCTTTCTCAATTATAGCCATAATCTGATCCTTAGATGCAGGCTACATGTAATAAATATAGTGAATAAGACCGGATTGTGATAATAATAATTCAAATTACAAAAATGTACCTAAAATTTGTGTTTAATAGGTTTGTCTTATACAAAGATTGATAAGACAACAACTCTAAATGGTCCAACATTCATGATCCTTTGTAAATACAAATAACTAACAGGCTAGTTATATTTGGTGGTTTTTGTTTGGTCCTGTATACTATTTGAGTGCCACAGGACAAAGAAAGAGTACTTGCTTGTGCCCTTTCTTCTCATATCTTATATAAAACATGCTAAAAATGTTTAAAAATAGTATAATTATCTCAGTAAGATAGCAAAAAACTTTGTGTTTTGAATCCAAATTTTAGCAGGAAAAAATGCTTAGGACCTAAATTCTTGTCATTCAAACGGTTAAGAATTTTTTTTATATCTTTAAGTTCCTTGCTTAAAGCATGTATAGTTACAAAAAATTAAAATATCTTTTATTTCTTCTGCAAAACATAGGAGACATACATGCAAGTAATTTGACATACCTTGAGTTTAGAGGTAGCTTTGAAGACACTGTCATACCCTGTATGAATCATGAAAGGAACAACAGCGTCCTGGGCTTTCTTCCTCACATCACCATTCCTATCTTCCAGGCACGACAGGAGATGTGGGATACACATTTTAAACTCTACAGGTAACTTTTTATGATCTGGTAGTTTCTCTGTCAACCATCCCAGTAACTGTATTGATCAGAGACAGAAAGAGAGAGATTTAATACATTGAATAATGTGTAATTACCATCATTTTATTAAATAGACACGTTTAAAATCATTTCTTAATCTTATATAGTAAAAACAAAATATCTCAACATGACAAAAACCTGCAATGTAAATGAATAAAAGTAATATCTAAAAAGATATTCAATGAAAACAAACTTTGGAAACATCAAATTAAACTAGAGGCTCTCAAGAGCCTGTGTCGCTCACCTGTATTTACTGATGCTTTGGAAATCATGTAAAATAAGGTTAAAATCATAATTAATAGTATTAGATATTAGATATTATAATGATATCTAAGATAATAACAAAAAACTGCAAAATTTTTGTAAAATTACTAACTCAGGGGCAGCAACCCAACAACGGGTTGTCTGATTCGTCTAAAAATTTCAGGGCAGATAAATCTAAATCTGATGAACATTTTTGCCACCTGTCAGATTTGCTCTAAATGCTTAAGTTTCAGAGATATAAACCAAAAACTGCATTTTACCCCTATGTTCTATTTTTAACCAAGTCAGCCATGATGGTTGGAAGGCGGGGTCATTGGACAAAATTTTTAAACTAGATACCCCAATAATGATTATGGCCAAGTATGGTTAAATTCATTTGTCTCAGTAGTTTCAGAGAAGAAGATTTTTGTAAAAGATTACAAAAATTTACAAAAAATTGTTAAAAATTGACTATTAAGGGCAATAACTCCTAAAGGGGTCGACTGACAATTTTGGTCATGACAACTTATTTGTAGATCTTACTTTGCTGAACATTATTGCTGTTTACAGTTTATCTCTATCTATAATAATATTCAAGATAATAACCAAAAACTGCAAAATTTCCTTAAAATTACCAATTCAGGGGCAGCAACCCAACAACAGAATGTCAGATTTGTCTGAAAATTTCAGGGCAGATAGATCTTAACCTGATGAACATTTTTACCCCCATGTCAGATTTGCTCTAAATGCTTTAGTTTCAGAGATATAAGCCAAAAACTGCATTTTACCCCTTTGTTCTATTTTTAGCCATGTCGGCCATGTTGGTTGGCAGGCGGGGTCATCAGACACATTTTTTAAACTAGATACCGTAATGATGATTGTGGCCAAGTTTGGTTAAATTTGGCCTAGTAGTTTCAGAGGAGAAGATTTTTGTAAAAGTTAACGGACGACGACGACGGACGACAAGTGATAAGAAGTTCACTTGGCCCTTTGGGCCAGGTGAGCTAAAAATGGACAAAATAATTGCTTACTAAAATCAAAATTAATAAGTCTCTTGATATGAAGGAAAATAAAGATTTTTTCTTTATTTTTCTAAAGAATTCAAGCATCTTTTTAACCTTACAACCCATTAGAATCTGATCACTATAACAGTATAATAACATAAATGTGGATAGTGTCCACATGTGGACACAGATGATGCCCCCGCTTGCATATCATATAGTTATAAAGGGACATTACTAAAGAACGGTAAAAGTGACGCTACCCAAGTTTGAACTTGATCTGAGTTATGTGGTAATAGGCATTGTGTGTGAGTCTCATAACATTTGGTTGAGGCTTACTTAAGTAGAGAACAGAAACTAAAACTTCAGCAATTATTCTATTTGTAAACACGCATAACTCTAGAACTGTTGTGTATAAGTTTTATAACATTTGGTTGAGACAAACTAAAGTTAGAGAAGGGAAACGAAAAATTCAGCAATTTTTGTGTTTATAAAGGGACATAACTCAAGAAAGGTAAAAGTGTCGCCACCAAATTTCGTACTTAATCTGTATTATGTAGTAATAAGCATTGTGTATAAGTTTCATATCATTTGTTTGAGGCAAACTAAAGTTAGAAAACGGAAACAAAAAATTTGTACTTGATCTTAGTTTTGTGGTAATGAATATTGTGTATAGGTTTCATAATGTTTGGTTGGGGCAAACTTAAGTTACAGAATGGAAACTAAAAATTTTGCAATCTTTCAATTTATAAAGGGGCATAACTCAATAATGGTTAAAGTGACACTACCCAAATTTAAATTGATCTGTGTTATATCAGTGGAAGTCAAAATTAAACATTGCATTGTATAAAGCATTGATTGTAGTTGATTCAACTATAATCATGGACAAAGGAAGATAACTCCAATTTTAATAAAATGCTTCGCTGGGCGCAGCTTGATACGACCGCAGAGGTCGAACCCTGAACAGTTGGGGCAAGTATGGACACAACATTCAAGCTTGATACAGCTCTGAATTTGGATTGTGATTAAATATTTGACACAGCATAGGTTTCTGACACAGAAAGAATGTGGTCTAAGAACTTCAATTTTTTTAATTTACCTATTATGGTCCAATGTCCAAAATCAAAATACATGGTTAGATTCAGCATATCAAAGAACCCCATATATTCAATTTTTGTTGAAATCAAACAAAGTTTAATTTTGGACCCCAACTTGGACAAACTTGAAAACTGGTCCCATAATCAAAAATCTAAACACATGTTTAGATTCAGCATATCAAAGTACCCGAAGAATTCAATTTTTGTTAAAATCAAACTAAGTTTAATTTTGGACCCTTTGGACCTTAATGTAGACAAATTTAAAAAACGGGACCCTAAATTAAAAATCTAAAAACACAGTTAGATTTGGCATATCAAAGAACCCCAATAATTCAATTTTTGATGAAATCAAACAAAGTTTAATTTTGGACCCTTTTGACCTCAATATGAACCAATTTGATAGCGGGCCCACAAATAAAAAATCTAAATACATGGTAAGATTCAGCATATCAAAGAACCCCATATATTCAATTTTTGTTGAAATCAAACAAAGTTTAATTTTGGACCCCAATTTGGACCATCTTGAAAACTGGGCCAAAAATCTAAAATCTAAATACATGTTTAGATTCAGCATATCAAAGAACCCCATATATTCAATTTTTGTTGAAATCAAACAAAGTTTAATTTTGGACCCCAACTTGGACAAACTTGAAAACTGGTCCCATAATCAAAAATCTAAACACATGTTTAGATTCAGCATATCAAAGAACCCCAAAAATTCAATTTTTGTTAAAATCAAACTAAGTTTAATTTTGGACCCTTTGGACCTTAATGTAGACCAATTTAATAAAACAGGACCCAAAATTAAAAATCTAAATACACGGTTAGATTTGGCATATCAAAGAACCCCAATAATTCAATTTTTGATGAAATCAAACAAAGTTTAATTTTGGACCCTTTGGACCTCAATATGAACCAATTTGATAGCGGGCCCACAAATAAAAAATCTAAATACATGGTAAGATTCAGCATATCAAAGAACCCCATATATTCAATTTTTTGTTGAAATCAAACAAAGTTTAATTTTGGACCCCAATTTGGACCAACTTGAAAACTGGGCCAAAAATCTAAAATCTAAATACATGTTTAGATTCAGCATATCAAAGAACCCCATATATTCAATTTTTGTTGAAATCAAACAAAGTTTAATTTTGGACCCCAACTTGGACCAACTTGAAAACTGGGCCCATAATCAAAAATCTAAACACATGTTTAGATTCAGCATATCAAAGAACCCTAAGAATTCAATTTTTGTTAAAATCAAACTAAGTTTAATTTTGGACCCTTTGGACCTTAATGTAGACAAATTTAAAAAACGGGACCCAAAATTAAAAATCTAAATACACGGTTAGATTCGGCATATCAAAGAACCCCAATAATTCAATTTTTGATGAAATCAAACAAAGTTTAATTTTGGACCCTTTGGACCTCAATGTGGACCAATTTAAAAACGGGGCCCAAAATCCAAAAACTTAATACACGGTTAGATTCAGCATATTAAAGAACCCCAAGAATTCAAGAATAAAACCCCATTGAAATTGATCAAGAAATAAGCAATTTATACGAAGTATCTTCTTTTGCACAATACTGTGCAATTGAATATTTCTTGCTATTGCGCAATACTGTACAATTGACAATTTCTTGCTATTGCGCAATATTGTGCTATTGGATATTTCTTGCTATTGCGCAATACTGTTAAATTGAAGATTTCTTGCTATTGCGCAATACTGTGCAATTGAAGATTTCTTGCTATTGTGCAATACTGTGCAATTGAAAATTTCTTGCTATTGCACAATACTTATTATATAATAATTTACACATCCTGTTTGGTGTGTATCTCCTACCATATCATTATTATTTGCTTTTAAATATAAATCAGAAATAACCAACTTAAAATGGAAAATTTTAAAAGAAAAAAAAAAGGAAAAAAAGAAAAAAAAAAAAAATCCCCCCCCCAATTTTTTGAACCCCCTTATGATTCATTACCCCCAAACTCAATCCCAGCCTTCCCTTTGTGGTATGGTACCTTGCAGTACAATTTCAGAGAGATCCATACACTTGAACACAAGTTATTGTCTGGAAACTAGAAAAATGCTTATTTTTGGCCCCTTTTTGGCCCCCAATTCCTAAATGTTTCGGGCAATTACCCCCAAACTCAATTCCAGCTTTCCCTTTGTGATATGGAACCTTGTAGTACAATTTCAGAAATATCCAAACACTTACACACAAGTTATTGTCATGAAACTAGAAAAATGCTTGTTTTTTGCCCCTTTTTTGGCCCCTAATTCCTAAAATTTTGAGGCAATTACCCCCAAAATCAATTACAGCCTTCCCTTTGTGATATGGAACCTTGTGGTACAATGTCAGAGAGATCCATACACTTACACACAAGTTATTTTCTGAAAGTTACAAAAATGCTTATTTTTGGCCCCTTTGTGGCCCCTAATTCCTTAACTGTTGGTACCATAACCCCCAAAATCAATCCCAACCTTCCTTTTGTGGTATTGAACCTTATGGTGAAATTTCATGGAGATCCATTCACTTAAACTAAAGTTAGAGTGCGAAAACCAATGTGTCTTCGGACGACGCCGGACGACGCCGGACGACGACGACGACGACGACGACGACGACGACGACGACGCCAACGTCATACCAATATACGACCAAAAAATTTTTAATTTTTGCGGTCGTATAAAAATTACTTGATATTTAGAAGAAAATAAAAATTTTGCAATTTTTCCATTTATAAAGGGGCATAACTCTAGAACGGTTAAAGTGACGCCACCAAAATTCTGTATTTTGTGGTAATAAGCATTGTGTATTAGTTTCATAACATTTGGTTGAGGCAAACTTAAGTTAGAGAATGGAAACCAATTTTGGGACGTACGTACAGACAAGGGTAAAACTTAATGCCCCCACCGCCACGGCGGGGGCATAAAAATTGTTTGTTGTTTAAATCGTATTACACTCCATTGATAGTGACCAGTATCACTTTTAGCATAGTAGAGTTTGAATAACTGGTGCACCAAAATAGACACTTAATTGTAAAAAGATCTACATTTTCATATAACATATAAATTATAATTCGTCTCTATGTAGCTGTATTCATCTATGAATTGTAGACTTTAAAATCTTTGTAAAGACAAAAGGTGACATGCATTGGTAATTGAGAAGAAAGGAATATAGAAGATTTCAAGTAATCATAGATAAAATTTTACCTCTATCCTAAGATTTGGATTTTCCATTTTCAGTGTATCACTGAGTGCTTCACATTCTACTAAAGGTATCAGTGATGTTTGATCTGTCCACAAAGTCAAAGCATTCACAGCCTGCTGACGTAACAGTGGCTGTAAGAAAAATATAACTCTTAATTCTTTAAAAATACAGGTATTAAGATCAACTAGAACTGTGAGTGAACTTACAAAAGAATACACCCCTTTTTTATATGTGATTATCTCCCCTTTAATACGCCAGCCTTGAATTATATTCCTATATGCAAATCTTCTGGTAGTGTTCTGCAACTGCGTAAACTTTCATCCATATACATCATGCCCTTAAGCAGAAGCTGCAGTTAAAAATGCACACGGACAGACAGACAGAAGGACAGAGTATTTCTATATACCCCATTTGTTTGTTAGGGTATAATAAAATATGGTTATCATATTGAATAACTAATCAATGGTTTCTTTCATTCAATCATTCATAAAATAATTAAAATTTGAATGAAAAGAAAAATCGATTTCATCAATGTGGGCAAGTCTTTATATTTCACATGATTTTTATTTAACTCACATTGTAATTAATATTATAACATACCTTCATATCCCCAAAACAACCAAGAAGGGCTGGTCCAATTGTTTTTACATGTGCTTTACAGTGTGGGCCCATGTTGGTCGCTAATGTCACACAAATGCCTATGGTCAAACCAACCTGAAAAAATATACTGATTAATTGATGGGTTTCTTGTCATTAATGTCCAGTGGAAAATACTACAGTCATCATGTTTTCATAAAATAACCCTGAGTTCTACCACTGGAAATTTGTCATACTCGTGAGTAAAATCTTTATGACTCCCTCTATATGTCTAAATACAAGTATTCTGTGGCATCAGTATCACTTCAGAAATATATATTTTTATACTTTTCATTGAAAATTGAAAACAATGAAATTCAAGAAAGACTATTGGAATATCGGAAAATGTAACATCTGAAAAACCAGGACAGTTGGTTTTGAAACTGAAAGAATCCCTATCTAAGAAGAATAAACAAGTTATGGTGAAATTCATACAAATGTTACAAAGTAAAACCTTAGTATACTTATCTGTAACTGGTGTATAAATAATTCACTTACAGAAAGATATAGTCAAACCTGCCTTAACAGACACCTCGTTTCAGCTGTCACCTGCCTCTAACAGTCACTTTCAGACCCATCCGAATATTTTCTCTACATAATTACTCTTTTTAGCGTCACCTGTCTAATGGTGTTAGCTGTCACCTAATTTATGCACAAAATCGTCATATTCAACTTTTAACAACAGTCTTTTTATATTATAAACTATCAAAATATAATCATGACGAAAATAGATCTGATCAGTATCGTGGTCAAAATGAGAATCGGAATCTGTTTGCAACCAAATAGACACAATAGGTGGAATCCGCCATTATTTTATTCGTCTGCTAACATAAAGGATAACTCTACCAATTGAAAACACTAAAATAATTTGCCACGATCCTGACCATGTGTCATGTCAGAATAAAAATTTTTCCGAAACATCATTTAAAAGGTCACCTCTCTTGATTGGTCACTTTTGATACTTCCCATGAGTGACTGCTTAATACAGATTTGACTGCAACTTCAGTGAAACCTGTATACATAGGTCATTTTCAGAACCAGAGAAAATGCACTACAGCAGAAAAACGAGAAAGTGAACTGCTGAGACAGATTTTCACTAAACTTTATAACAGGTGTGACTGCATATTAACAACTTTGATGACCTTCTCCACACTCATTTGCTATAGTAACATGACATTTACAGGAAAATAATTTTAGTTTTTGATGTAACTAATTAGTGATATCAGAGTACTTCAGAGTATTTATGGTTTAAATATATTTTAAACATACTTACCAAAACTTTATTATTATCACCCAGTCGAACTTTCAAACCTTCTGGTAAAGAGCCCAAGTTACCGGTTATAAACTTAGCTTCATTCAATATGGCTGAGATTTTTTCTAAAGCTTCTTTCCTTATCTTCCAGTTCTTATCTACCAATGATTCCATTAATTCTGGAGTGAATTTTTCTCTAAAAAAAAAGGTAACTGTCATCTAGCATTAACTATTAAAAGTAAACTCTTCAATGCAGATGTAGCAAATGAAACCTAGGAATCATGCACATTTCTAACATCACACAATGTCTCCCTTTTACAGTAATTTTTAATTAGTTCTGTTAAAACTCATATCTGTTAGTTTTGAAATAATTTAAGACAGAATATAATATGATAACAACCAAAACCCTTAAATATTTGGCCATTTTTGGCAAACAGTCAATTCTATTTTATACTGCAACTATATTATTTGTGCAGTCAAAATGCATTGACTGTATAAACTTGTTAGATTCACTGACCGTATAAAGCCTGGTTTGTGACTTTGATAATGTGTGTCCCTTAAGATTTATCAATGACATTGTAAAAGAATGCAGGTTTACAGAATTTTTAAGTCATCTGCTTCAAGTTCAAAATTGTGATTTTTACACAAAGTATTTTATTAAGAATAAGAGCATATGGCACGTGTCTCAAACTTAGTAGTAAATTTAAGATAAAGTCACCTAACAAAGATTTTTTTTTTAAATACATGTAGTTCTAGGTGAAATTCAAACTGAACCAACCAGCTGCATGAAAGTTAGTAAAGACTATGAATCTAGGTGTAAATGTTCCATGAATAATCATGTATATCTCAATTTACATAAATCCGTATGAGGACAATACCCTATATCATTTCTATCAATCAGATCTGCCATATTAACTTCCTCTTTGGGTGTATCTTCATCATCTTCCTCCTCCTCCTCCCCTTCAGCTCCTGCTACTACACCTCTAGTAGGAGCTGGAGGTTTTTCACCTTTCACCTAAAAGATCAGAAAAGAAATTTAGGCTCCACAGCTATGATGGTAAATTATCTATCACTGTAAAACCTTTTTATATATGCAGCATGATCTGTTTCTGAAACAGACCTTTCCAACTTCATAACAAAATTGTCTTGATTAAAGATGAATATACAATTTTTACTTAAGGTGGTACCCAACACCTTGACTAATATTAATTTGGCTCGTTTAATTTTCATAAAATTTTGACAAAATGTTTACTTTGACCCTTTGACAAAAATATAAAAATTTCAAAAATTTGAACCAACCACTTTATCAGAAAAATTTCATTGGTTATATAGCAGTTTGACAAACACTAATTTTGATCATTGAGAAGCTTAATATTTCCTTAACAATACAACGTAATTAAAACGTTTAGCTGATTTTTACAGAGTTATCTCCCTGTAGTGTTAGGTACCACCTTAAACAACATATCTTTCTTCCTGAAACAGGTATCAAAGCACCTCATGCTTTTGGTCCTTATACCCTTAATGTTTTCTAAAGGATAAAATAAGACATCTACATACAACAAAACAGGTAATCTCATGTGTTATTTTTTATTCAGATTAAATGTTTACAGAACAAATATATTTGCACAATACTGAACCTGACATGAACTCATCTTTTAAGCATATTCTGATGGGAAATATTCACATTTACTGCTTAAACTTATCATAATGGTTACAATGATACATCTTATTCTTTAACAAATACAAAAACTAACCTTTTCAAACTCAGCATCTATCTGCTGCAACAAAGCTGGTTTCTCATCCTCGAAAAACATCCTAAATTGTTGTCCCATGTACATATAGATAACAGAGGTTACAGTGATTGCTGATGCCCTCACAGCCTGAAAACAGATCATATAATTTAGACACTGACATTTTTGCAGGTTGTTATTTTTGCAATTTCGATGCATAAACTTTTTGCGTAGAGTTACTTTGGCAAATTAACAATAAGTTGGCACTTTACAACAATATCATTGCATTCTAAATAATATTCACACGGGGAATATTTTCATGCATTTTATGCAAATGAGGAATTAATGAGATTAAACCACAACCCATGTGCCAAAATTTCAAAGTTCACAGTACACATGTAGTTCGTTTTAGCTTGCTAAAGTTAAAGCAATAGTATTCTCAATTTAACAAAATATGGATAAGGGAGAACAATTCTCTATGGCTCAGATTTATCTATTCTCTTTGTTCAGGATCCAATATCAAATCAACTTCCTGTATGTGATTTTCTGTTTTTTTATAAAACGCTCTTTTGTTGTTCCTTTTGACTAAATGTTATAACACTGTTTCACATGATGAATATTTGGCATATATTCTAAAAATTTATACTATAATGAAATGTCAATGTTTCAAGTTAATGTTACCACAAAAACTCAATGGTACATTACACTAAATCAAAACTTAGATCTTATATGGGACAGACAGATGAACACACAGATAGGAAAACATAATGCCCAACTGCTATCATAGATTTGGCATTTAAAATAAAGATCTTTGTGCATTTTGGGAATATATTAGCATAGTGATGAATGTAACTTATTTTTTAAACAATCTAAAAAATACAATAAAGCATAACTTACTGGATTAGTTGCTGCAAAAGCTTTCTTTATATAAGTTATTAATGGTTTGACACTCAACCTGAAAATGATTCAAACAATTAAAACAATCTAAAGTGAAAGTCTATCAAAACTCTGTGCTATGCTGTTCTGCATAGACATAAAGACACAACACTTCACTATAAAATCCAATATATTTTGTTTCCTTCAAAGAACTTTTATATTTACAAGCCATATTGTTCAGACAAGGATTAATGTTCAAGTTAGATTCAGAAATTAAAAGTGCCAAGATAAAATCTAGAGTAACTATTAAGGTTGATCTCCCTAATAATACTAATCTATGATCCACCATTTTATTTACACTACCACGTCATATATAAAGGTCATTATTTCAGATATTAACCACAGTTGTTTTATGTGGGTTTTTCTTATTCAAAGTTTAATATAAAGTTGGAAAGTGAAAATGTAGTGAAATAATTTCACACAAATAATCGGCAATAAGCAATTTTCAAAGTAAATTGTTTTCTATCATTTTATGTTTATAGATACTTAAACTTACTTCAGTCCAAAGTCCTTCACAGCTTGAGCCAGCCACACTAATGTTTCAGCTGTATTCTTAGGATTCTTGTTCTCAAACCCTAGAGGTATTACCTATGATAGAAGAACATTTATAATGTATTCTAAGGATTCTTGTTCTCAAACCCTAGCCGTATTACCTATAATATAACATTTATACTGAACACACAACGGTATGTTTGAAATAGTCATTTATGAAATGATCTCCTCCTTTATAATCTGTAAGCATCACCAAATAGAACGAGAAAAGTGATATCTAAACAAGGCACATGAGGTCAGGTCTGAAATACACCTGATGGTAATTGAAATTACAATCATATATAAAGGACTGTAGTAAATAGAGATTCACACATTATATCAACACATTAGATGTTTTCTCTTTTCTCCCTAAAGTAGCTTAATATATCCTAATCAACCAATAAATTACTATTTCTACAGAATAAGCTGACTAATGGCAGACTTCTATTGTTACCATATAATTATTAATAATTTCATTCATGGGTAATAAATCATACTTAAAGTTTTCTTTACCTCTTTACAAATAAATTCTAATGATGTAGCCTCAGCAATGCAACTGAGACATTCCTGTACAGATTTGCCCTGCTTAACATCCCCAATCTTATCAATCAGGTCTGATAAAACACATTCTGCAGATACTTTTGTGAACTTGGCATTCTTGGCAAGAATTGTAATAAGTTCTATTCGTAGCTTCAAAACCTGAAACAAATTAATCAATTTGTGTAGCCTTTTGAATTTCAGATGAAAATATTGTAAAGCAGTATTTTATTTTTAGAATCCCTTTTTTTTTAAATAAAAAATTTCATACAATATAAAAAAAAGTATACTAGAGCCGAGTTTTAAATACATTGAGGTATTACGTATCTATTCAATGCATTTGGGTATTTTTACATCACAAACTTTAAAAATAAAAGAACAATATGTCTGAGGATACCAAAGCCAAGCTCAAGCTTTGCAATTTTCCAATGATAAAAAGTAGCATCACTCTAGAACAGTAACCGACTCATAACCCAAATTTGAACTCTGTCTGCGAGTTTTAGTTCTTATCATTATGTATGAGTTTCATAAAATTTTAATAAGGCAAACTTAAGTTAGAGTGCGGAAACGGAAATGGGACGAATAGAAAAGACGGAAGGAATTGACGGATAGAAAGACAGACAGTCAAGGGTAACACTTAATGCCCCCATTGCCTAATGCAGGGGCATTAAAATTATGGTAAATTGACTATTAGAAAGGATTAAAATTGATATATATAAACATGTTAAATGTATTAAATAAGTACAACTGAAATATTTTACTTAATCCTTAGTTATACCCTTATCTATGGAAACTTATCATTTTACAACTGGATATGCATATATGGTACAGAAGTCACTCTTTTGATATGATGTACCATGAATGGTAACACTCAACGTACAAAATGCAGGTATCATTTTGGAAGTCTATTGATTCAAGTTTTAATTTTTTAATTATAACATTTCCATCTAAATATTTCTAAAATTTTATTTCATATTCATTTCAAAATCCCCTTCATTTAGCATCACTGGAGACATTGCTGAAATGTGCATCAGGTCCAGTAAAATTGGTACCGTTTAGGACTGAACTAACCTGGAAATTGTTATCTTTAAGACCTGGTTTCTTAGCAACTGTTTTGACAACAGCCTGACATGGTATTTCATCTTTAGACATACCCTTCATTGTCTACAAATATAAACAACCTTCTTATTATAATATCAACATTGGTTTGCAAGAATCTTATTATTACGATGCTAATTCAAGTTAACAACTGTAATATCTTATATCTGGATGAACATGTATGATAATATATTCAAATTTACTGCCTATATTATGTATTGTGTGTATCATAAAATATATATTTGGTTAAGTAAGCTTCTGTTACACTGTCCTCAGCAGCAGTGTGTTCCCTAATCAACTATGAAACTACAACACAGTGTGTATATCAATGCTAACTTAACTCAATGTTTTGGTCTTATTACTCTAACATAAAATGTATTGTTCAAACTGTTTATACTTATTAACACTTTCAATTTGTTTCCTCTGAAATGGTTACACTTTGTATAATAAGTATAATAATGATTCACACATTGACTGAACATGCTTTTGCATATTTATATTTATGGAATACTTTCTTTTGTATTTTGTGTACAACTTAATTTCAAACAACACTTTTTTTGGCTAGTAACATGCATTTCCTTTAAGTATTGACCATTGTTTATCAAACCTGTGTGATATTTTCCATAGCAGCCAATCTATCTTTCCAATTAGCACTTGTCAACTGTTTCAATGTATCCCCAGGAAACACTGCACCAGCTTTATCCTCTACAGCTTCATCCTTATTTGTTTAAATTCATTAATATTAGTGCATGTGTTGCTTAGTACAATAAATTATTACTATTTGAATAAAAGAAAAACTTTATAATGGACAGAAAAACAATTTGCATAAACACATAAATACAACTATAAAGTCAAGAGAAAAGGAGTGAATCTGCCGTAAGACATTTTTCCATGTTTTCACATACTTTCCAGATTATCAATATGATTCAGTAATTTGAATGATTCAAAAAGGTTTTTATCTAAAGAAGTTTTAAACAAATACTGTACAAGTACTAATGTTTATAGACTACCAGTTTAACAGGATTTCAACGATTAACACCACAACAAATGTAAATAACAGTCAAACAAGTGAAACTGCGAGCTACTGCTCACTGATGATACCCCCGCTGCAAGTGGATAATTTTAATAGTGTAAAAATATGCAAGTGTTAGGTAAACAGGAAGTTGTTGAGTGATGAATCTGAAAACGCATCACACGGTATAGCTGACTTATATAAACCCTGAAACCAAATTTCAGAAATTCTTGTATTGTAGTTCCTGAGAAAAATGTGACGAAAAATATTCATGGGACGGACGGACGGACTGACTAACGGATGGACAGACAGAGGTAAAACAGTATACCCTCCGCCTTTTTTAAAGCGGGGGTATAATTACAAATTATCCATTCATATCATATACATGTATATGTATATATAAAGAGAATAAAACAAAAAGCTACAAATCAATGATTTCTCCAAGAAAATAATGATGTATGAACAAAAGTTCTGTGGTAGTAGTTACTTACAGAGAGAACACTTTCTGTAGGAAGTTCACCAGCTGCTGCACCTCCCTTCTTTCCTCCACCTTTACCCTTAGTATCTTTCTTTTGTGTCTGAAAACAAAATATAGAATGAATGAATAAGAAATATGTATCCCTGTAATCTGGAGGTAGGGATTCACTGTGTTAATGCTTGATTTAATAAACTATAAGACATATAGTATAGACACCTCTTTATTATTAAAAACAATGTGTTGCCCGATAGATGTCTTTTGGTTATCTTTGTTTTCAGGTTGATGTCTCATTCATAAATCCTTGACATATACCCGATAACTCCTTTTAATATTACTTTGGGCAAACTACACCATCTTTAAGTCATTTCATAGAACCTTTTGACAACTATTTCATATTGTCCATACTATTAAAGTAATACAAGCAGCATAGGAATGGGGATATAGGTGCATAGTTCTTCTAAAACTGTCAGTTTGAAGTACTGTATATATGAATAATGTCTAAGGAAATTAAGCAGTTTCTTACAGATACTTTGATCTTTTATAACTGTGATTAATTTTGAAAGTATTTTGATATTTCTGACACTATTCATTGTATATAATAATATGTTTGTAATCTTTCATCTTGCACAAAAATAATAATACACCAGACAAGAACACCATATATACCTCATTTAATATATTTGTCTTGACTCAGAAAAGTATCATACTCAACCAATATATGACATTCTATGACAAGCAATAATACAGTAACAGTACAGGTAAAACACTTTATACTTTATAGCATGAGGTACAAAATGAAGCTATGAATACTGATGTTGCTGTCACAACTAAATCAAATCAAATATTACATATTTAGTCTTCAAACTTACAGATTTTTTAGGAGCTGTTTTTGGTCTTTGATCCTAAAAATATAGAAGAAAATACAAGTATTATATAAATTTTTTATTAAAATTAACAGCTAATTAAGAACTAAGGATGCAACTCCCAATGTCAATGTTGACCTAGATGGTTTTGGCTAGTCTTGTAAGGCCACTTTTGGTTAAACATCTTTCTATGTGTGCAATGACTACACCATTTTTTTGGCTATGAGCATATACATCAAAAGTTAATCTAAAATTGTACATCATCCACACTAAACATTATGTTTCAAATTTTTTTAAATGTAATTTTAATATGATTTCTTAAAAGAATTAATGTCAAAACAGGTTTTGACATAAATTTTCAGTTAATCTGATTTGATTAATGAGTTTAATATGATTCTACAAGTCAAAATATAAAATACGGAAATGTAATGTTCAACAACCAAAAGATGAGATAGTGAACACATTTTTCTAGCTTTGTTCATAACTCAGTTTGAAACAATACAATCATGGTGATGTATTCACAAAGAGAATACAGTTATTCTTTAAACAGTAATTAAATCTATAATACACTTGGTACTTACAGGTTTAGCTGTAGACTTAGGTTTTGCTACAGCTTTGGGTTCTGGAGCTTTGGTTGGAGCTGGTTTACTGGCTCCACCACCACCACCTCCAGACCTGGGTTCTCCTTTAGCGTTCAGTAGTACAGCTTTGTCACAGCTTTCTTTTATCTGAAATCAAGAATACATAAATCACTGAAAATGTATTCCTTTAATTGTGTTTGTGTGATTATAGGACTGTTCCAAAAAATCATACACCTGTTAATCTTTAAATGCAATTATTTCATGCCAAATTATATGAGTAGAAAAATTATCAGTCATATCAAAACACTTTTACAAGTCTTAATTTAAAATTATGTAGATTTACTGCCATTGTTTAGTCAGAAGAAACCTGTGTAATGAATCCAGATTCATTTGGAAGTTATAATCAACTTTAGATATCCTGATAACATTACTTTTCTCAAAATCGAAAGTGGAGTGATCAATTCCTATGGAATTGACTTTCCCAGTGAATAAAATCATTCCAGTTTTAAACTTTTGCATGACACATATCATTCTTAAATGTGTGTTTTTTTTTAAAAGTAATAACATTTTATATAGTTCATTAAAAAGGGTAGTTGTCCATAAAACCAATTTTAATTTATTTAATGCATTTACCTTCGCAAGATGCTGCAAAAGAAACCCACCCCAAAAACCAATCCTTTCTGGTGTGTGTATGTTTAAATGGAAAAGCCTATTAAAAACCTCCATAGAAATCTTGATTCTACTTTTATCATAAATAACTGTAAGGAGTTACCTTCTGCATTTTAATACTGTCTACATCTGGTAGAAAAGGCATGATATTTTTCTCTGTTACAACTCTCATGGCCATACCAAGTGCTGCATACGAAGCCTCTCTTACTTCTGGTGTTGTATCATTGATCGTCTGGAATAAAAAATACTTCATGACTTTTTTGTAACTATGTCTACATTTAAAATTAAATCTCACAATTGAGCTATTTAAATAATCCTGAACAGATGCATATGCAATATGATTGTTCAACAACTCTCTCATAGTATCAATTCGTTCCTATGATAATGCAGTGTACATGAATACATTCTGAACATATTTTTCTGCTCTATGATGACACAAAATGAAAGAAGTCTTCACCAAAAATGATGCAGATAACATGTAAATATAGAACTAAATTGATCATTTAATCACATTGACAATACTATTAAGGCAGAATATATGTTATAAAGCAGTATTTTGACTTTTTTTTTATGTATTTAGAACTAACTGAACTGCATCTGAATATAGAAAAATATAATATGTAGCAGCTATTCTTCTTGATACTTATTAAAAGTTTGTGAAAAAACATCTATAAGTATATAGAATGCACTAAAAAAAACTGCAAACATACAATTTTTCACTTTAAAATTTGATTTCTAAAAAAAAAACATGGGCCAAATAATATTGTTTAAATTGATATGTTATTGCTATGAACAATTTAGATTTAATTAATATAAAATTAACATGCAGTCACCTAAACAAAACAACATAACATTGTGATGTCATTCTGCAAAATTGTAGTGTTTCATATTTTTTCATACAGTACAGTATAAAAGTCAATATACAAATCAAGATACTAATCGTAATTTTTCTTTTTCCGTCTTTTACATCTGTTCAGTAACCCGTTCTGGCTGAATCCATGTAATTTCACCTTTCAATGCCAATTTGTACTCAATCAACAAATACCTAACTTTTAAGAAGCATACTATTTCTCATAAATTTGTATTACCAAAAAATTATAATGGCAATGATAAGGACTTTGTTCTATTTAACAGTTAAGACCTGCCTACTACATGTATTTATACATCCACACTAATTAATTTCTTAATTCTTCTAAAAATACTATTGAAAGGTATAAACAAGAAAAAGGTGTATGTGTTGGTGTTAATAAAATTAGAAAAAAAACTATGAATACCTGACCAAAACATAAAAGTTCAAATTTAAACTAGTTCAATACACCAAGAAAAAAAATTATATCTCTATGACTTCTAATTTAATACCTTTATTTAACATTAAAATACCTTCATCATTCTAAATAACAAAATCCTTGTTACTATTAATTTATGTCCAATATTCTCAAGGCAGAAAACCTCTAATATATTAGACACATTAGTATGAAGAGGTCTGTTGGCCAAAACATGAATAAAACCTACTATGAAATACTGAGAACCGCAAACATTTCTATTTTGAGGAAAAAGATACTTTCCTACATTCACATTGGAACAGTTCAAATTCTGAAATCAACAAGTTATCAAATTATGTTTTTATTCAATTTCAAACAGAATATTACTTGTGCATTTATGTAAATAAAAGCCTCAGCATTCACATTTATATAAAAATACTACCAAAACCACAAAAAGATTGTTTCAATACTGCAACAAAATATTTGACCTACCTTGAGTAAAGCTGTACAGAACATCTTGAGCATTTTTTTAGGTAAAGTTGCTGTAGTACACTTAGCAAAACATCTGGATAAAAACGAGGCTGTCTCTGTTTTGATTTGAGGATTTTTGTTGTCTAGTGCTGCCACGACATCTTCAGAAATAGCTTCTAAAGTTGTCTGTAAAATAAAAAATTTCATCTTTATATTTCTTGGCTAATAAAGGCAAAACAAATCTTATATGCATTATAACTATAGATTATTGACAAAATCTTCTATTTTTAAAAAGATCTACATGTTGCATATATTCATATCTATTTCCTTAATACCAAATTAGCTTCAAATCATGATAAAACAAGTATTGCATGAATTAACGACAACTATCATAGAATATAATATCTTTTTATGTTGTTAATAAATGGAAGTACAATTTGAGGCTCATTTGAAACAAAATTATGTGCATTTTATTTAGAAATATTTTTAATTCTAAGGAGGTTACAGTCAAATCCCATCATCAAACTACAATTAATGCTAATTATTCTGCAAGTCTTTATTCAGACATTTAAATTAATGTAATAAACCCGATACAATACATATTCACTGTCCTTTAATTAATACAGTCAAATGAGATCCAAAATGTACCATCTACTTTTAATAGTAGTGTACAGAGTTGATCATTTTTTTTATTTTCCTTTTACACAAAGAGTTTCACACATGAGTAGGTCCAAGTTCAAAAGTCTTTTAACTGTTGAAAAAACTTCTGGACCTACTCAACTTTTACAAGCTTCGATGTAAATGGTATAACTCAGATCTAAACCTTACAGAAGGGTAAATTGCATCACTAGCATCTCTCAGTGCAGTTACAACTGTAGGTTTCTTTTCTTTAAATTTGTCCAATATCATCTGTATACACTGTAAATAAATAACACATATATATATATCAATTTTTTCTCACCATATGTTTGTATATACAACTGTGTAGTTCTGTGATATATTTAAAAGAATATTAAATAATGTGCTGCCTTATTCTTTCAACATCAATATGAATCCTAGGAATTAATTAAAATCTGATGAAGCATTATACAAAAACAAGCTAATAAAAAATTCCATTTTGTTTATTTTGATAATTGCTTGACCAGTTCAATCAAAAAGGAAAAGTAAACATGGCCAGTTAGGTAACTGCTCACTGGTGATCTATGAAAAAACTTGCCTTGTCTCAACTTGGACACAAACGATTCATTTTATTACATCTGCTTATATATAACTATTAATTCTCATGAAATGATATGAAATGGACTTGAGCAAAATAAAACCATACACTAATGAAAAACATATATAGATTAAACCTATCCTATTGTCAAAAATCAACAAGACACAAATTATACAATAAACTCATCATAGATAGCAGGATTAACTTGTAACTGTTATCTCTATCATAGAACCATCAACCCCGTCAACAGACATGTTCAGAATGAATTATTGGATTTTAACAACTGTTGGAGTCTCCTACATACCTGCCAAGACAAACCTATATATCTATATCATTTGTAAATGTTTCCTATGATAATCACACTTACATTTAGTGCATGAGGTGAAAATTTCTTCCTCAACCCAATGGCTAATCCAGTCAAACATTTGCTTGCAATACCCACTAATATAACATTGGTGTCTTTCGCAATAACCTGAAGAAATAAAGAGTATATCATCACATTTATATATAATACATTTTCTGCATGCTTACTACCTTTATACATTATCTTCTCGATTGTATTAGATGACCAACTTACCCTTACCTCTTAAAGTATCATATTAGTTATAATATCTTTAAATATATTTATTAGTAGCTAAGCTATATGTAATATTCCTGAATTCTCATCTTCATGGTCCAATTTGGTTATTTCACAAATTAACCCCTTTAAAAAACATGCACATTTTCAATTTAAAAACAGTTCATTTCAGTTAAGGATGTATTCTTCTGACGTTACAGTCTCGTTGAAAAACTTAACTCTGTGAAAAAATTGTGTATTTACAAAGAACAGTTTTTGAGTAATCAATTTTTCAAATTTTATTACCAATCAAGTCAGTCTTTTTAGCCAAAATTTTGGGAAAATGGGTGAGGGGTAGGGTACAAGAAATGATTTTACCAGAAACATGTACATCCCATATCACTTTCCAAATTTCTTAGATATGTATTTTTTCAATCACTTATAACAAAGAAGTTGAAATAATATGCATTTTGTTCATAAAACAGAGAAAAATCACAAATTTACAAAATTGACAGCATGGTTAATTTGACACAAAAAAGCATCAAAATATGATAAAACTTTCTTATATTAACACCTACCTATAGTTTTTTTAAGTTAAATTTATTCAGATTGGACCACTTCATCTTTATTGAAAGTATCAAAATTGGGTACTTTCAAAGGGCCGTAGCAAAAAAAGAAGTGCACCACCATATGATTTTTTCTTCACCAATTATTTTTTTACAGTCATATAAACCCAAAATTCAGGTTAAGAAAATAAGTTTAATTCTAGAAATTTTCTGCTCCTCAAAGGTGTACATCCTTAAGGATGGGATAAGACTCAATTAACTCAAATTTGTCTTATAAAATTTTGATGAGAATCTAGAAATGTTTTTAGTACATTTTTCATTACCACTGTTGTTATTTTGAAAACAAAAGCGTGTCATCAATAAAAGGCTTTTTATATAGTGTATATACACAGTCTTAATATTGTCTTTATGTTTATAAATGTCTCACTTGTCATTCTGGAGTATCTTAGACACATGTTCAGTTATACAGTTATATCCTCTCCTGTAAACTTCCATAAAATGTTCTATCAAGATATTGTCAGACAGATGTTTTCATTTGAATTCTCTAAATAACAAACCAGTTTCTGCAGTTATCTGAAACTCTTTTAGTACAGTTACTCATCAGAAAGAAAATAAAAGTAGATGACCAGCATCTGAAAAGCAACATTTGCCCTTTTATTAGGTCTCAGGCCTACAGGTAGTTTGTTCAATTTGACCCATTGTGTGTTTATTTATGTTTAAACATATTCATTATCTGCATAAAAGTTTGTGTCAGAATGTGACACTGCAGCAATTTTTTTTTAAAAAAGAACAAACAAAAAAACCTATGCACTTGTTCCTGAATTTAGATTAATAACAGTCTTACCTTTGAGATACACTTAACCAATGGACCAAAATCTCCATTTTCTATTTTGGGATTCTCCACTAATTTTAGCAAAGCATCTAAAGCTTCTTTCCTTTCCTGCCATTTCTTTGCCTCCTGTAAAGTAGATTATTAATTTAAAATTAAATAAAAGAAGAATGTGTCTGAGGACACGGATGCCCCCACTCAAGCTCTGCAATTTTCCAAGTTAAAAAAGGGGCATAACTCTACAACGGTAAGTGACTCACTGCCCAAATTCGAAACTCTGTCTGCTAGTTTTGGTTCTTAGCATTGTGTATGAGTTTCATAAAATTTTGATGAGGCAAATTTGAGTTAGGGTGCAGAAACGAAAAAATATGCAATTTTCCAAGTTAAAAAGGAGCATAACTCAAAAACCGTAAGTGACTTACTGCCCAAATTTGAACTCTGTCTGTGTGTTTTGGTTCTAAGCATTGTGTTTGAGTTTCATAAAATTTGCACGAGGGAAACTTAAGGTGGATCATTGGTATATATTCCCTCAGAAAGAATTTTCTTATACTTTGCCAGAATGTAGATTTTTTGGTGCTTTTTTCAAACATATAAAAAAAGTATGGGTCACCATGCTATTTTTCAAGCTACAAGTTGTGCAAAATTGCCCAAATTTGCATAGATTGTTCATGAAAAAAACAATTTTTTCTGAATAAAAAGAAATCTATGAGATAGAATTATGAAATAAAATATGAGAAGAAAGGTTTTAAAATATGCTTTAAGATAATAATAAGTGTCATTAACCTTGTTTTCTTGCTACAAGTTAAAATCAAAATTTGTCTATCATTCCTTTGTAAAAGTTTTACTATTTAAGTTATCTCCCCTTAAATGGCTAAGCTGACAATTTGATTCGAACAAACACATATATTTGGTATTGATAAATCAGTCTGAATAATGCAATAAATCACTTATTTTTTCTTCATTCCAATAACAGTCTTATCCATTAATTGCTAATCTGTCTCAAAATTTGCAGACTTAAGCAAAGAACTAGACCTATTGTGAACTGCTATTTTACAATCCAAGATGGCGGTATACAGTTAATCTACCTTTTGTTAGAGTGCGGAAACGAAAATGGGACGGGCAGAAAGACTGACAAAGGGAAGGTCGGTCAAGGGTAACATTTAATGCCCACGGCAAAGAACTGAATTTTTTACTTCCAAAAGGAAAATGTTTCAGTGTTGAAAGGGGCATTAGCTGTCAAATTCATGTTCACCGATTTGACTTAAAATCTCATATTTGATTTATAACATACTTAAACGTATATCCAAATTAAAAAAAGTCTAAAAAAAAAAATTAACAATGCATGGACTCATTTCCTGTGATTTTTTGTCTAGATGTCATCTAATTAACCATTGAGATGACCTCCGAAGACCTCCGACAGTCATAACCCGATATAAAAATAAATATAAACAGATAGCGACCCTGTGCAATTGGATTTTTCTAAGTCTGTTTGATTTCATATTGTAGGTTAAAAAGTATGTTCATCATCGCTTTTACCTGTATAAGAGTGATTTTTTTATAGATCGAATCAGTCAACCAAATGGTTCATCCTTGTTTCACTTTCAATGTTGACATTCTTTTCCTTTTAATAGCTGAATTCTTGCGTAACCCATGTCCAGCTAAGGGGTTAAATTGAAGGTCACATGAATACGGATTCAATGATGTGGAATTATTCACTTGCAAGCGAATAATTCATCAACAATGTTTCTTACTTGATTTTGACAAAATTGAACCAAATTGGCTGCTAAAAGCGAATTATTATTTCACTATATCACTTTCTTTAATGATTGAACAAAATAAAATCATATCTTGATTTTTTTTATATCAAGTAGCTAATGCCCCTTTAATATAATGTTGAACTTAAAACTAAACAGTGCATTGTATATAGCCAAAAAAATATATTTATTCAATATTGTGAATTCAGTTACTTCCCTTTGTCCATAAATTTAAGATACAACAGATTGATTGTTTCACCATGCAGTACTTTCTAGAACTTGTGTAATTTTTAATAAAATGGTATTCTTGATAAGTATGGTAAAAATGCAAATTCACACATCATTTTGTAAATTGGATACCAGAGCACATATAATTAATAAATTGCTAGAAATGGGTATGGAAAAGATCTAAGTAATGTTAGCATTCCTTCAATATGTTGTGTGTGTACTCACAAATCATGGTGGAGAAGCAGTTGATAAAAAAGCAAACCAGCCATCTTAAGCCTGGTACCACATTTTATTTGTAGTTTATATATATCTTTAGAACAATAAAAGCAAATTAAAAAAATTCCACCTGATTTTTGTCAATAACTTTTAATGAACTACTTTTGGGGAAATTATATTAAAAGTATAGAAATGTCTAACCACTCTAACTCAAAATATAGACACTTTATGTAAAGGGAGTCTTTAATTCAGTTTTACAGCTTCACATGTACTCTTTTTTCTTTTTTTTAATTGGACCAAATCACTTCTTTACCTTAAAATTTATGACCCAAATATCTTTTTCTACAGGTAATTTCATCCTCCTTGCTTTTTTATGAATAAACCATGAAGCATAAATTTGTAAGGTGTATGGAAAAAAATGCAAGTAGTACACTGTCCACACAAGGGATTATGTGTGGAGACGACAAAAATGAAACGGTGGTAATTGTGAATGTAAGGATTCAATTGCACTTGGGGAATTTTTCACACCAATGAAATCAGTTTACCTAGTTTATAGAAAAGATTCATTAATAGTGTTTTAAACAATAAATGGGGAATGTGTCCATGGGACACAGATGATGCCCCCGCTTGCATATCATATAAAGTTATAAAGGGACATAACTGAAGAACGGTAAAAGTGACGCTACTTAAATTTGCATTTGATCTGAGTTTTGTGGTAATAAGTATTGTATAAGATTCATAACATTTGGTTGAGGCAAACTTTAGAGAATGGAAATGAAGAATTCAGCAATATTGCTGTAAAGGGGCATAACTCTAGAACAGTAAAAGTGACGCCACCAAAATTCAAACCTGATCTGTATTTTGTGGTAATATGCATTGTGTATAAGTTTTATAACATTTGGTTGAGGTAAACTTAAGTTGGAGAATGGAAACGAAAAATTCAGCAATTTTTTCATTTGTTAACGGGCATAACTCGTGAACGGTTGAAGTGACACCACCAAAATTCAAACTTGATCTGTATTTTGTGGTAATAAGCATTGTGTATAAGTTTCATTAAATTTCGGTTGAGGAAAACTAAAGTTAGAGAATAGAAACGGAAAAATTCAGCAATTTTTCCATTTGTAAAGGGGCATTACTCTAGAACGGTTAAAGTGGCGCCACCAATATTCAAACTTGATCTGTGTTTTGTGGTAATAAGCATTGTGTATAAGTTTCATAACATTTGGTGGAGGCAAACTAAAGTTCGAGAACGGAAACCAACGTTGGGACGTACGGACGTACAGACGGACAAGGGTAAAACTTAATGCCCCCTACGCTACGGCGGGGGCATACAAATATATTCTGACCATTAAACAAATAGCATTACATCTTACAAGTAATAATAACATACAATTTTATCAAAGAAATCTGATGGAAGTTGTTTGAGTATGTCAACAGATGGCATTAGTTCATACGGATCTATAGCTTCCTCTTCTTCTTCTCCACCATCTGTAAATAATCAATGAATCATTACACAAAACATTATGATTGTTTAATAATTCAGTCCTAAATTGTACTGAATGTGAGGGATTTACCACCATTTGCAAGTATGAAGATCTTATGGAAACTATATCCCGAAACACTACATGCTTCAGAATGGGCTTAGAATAATTATGAATGCTAGCCTCAGAGTTGACAAAGATGTCATGTGTGGTTGTTTTGTGTAGCAGGATTGCCATCTATTTGATATAAACCCCACATCTCCTTTCCTTCTTATCATATCTTTGTTTAAATGTCTTGTGAATAAAGAAACGATCATTTTCAGAAACATAACTTGCTTGGCTTGTATATCAACACAGTGTGTACTTCAATGCTAAAGTCTTCATACAGTTTGAATATTCTCTTTTATTGCAACTGGTTTTTGATTTCTAACACCTATGTTATCTTCAGATATTTAAACTTTGTAGAAATCATAAAATACATTCAGATATTATAATACTTTTATATAGGAATAAACTTCATAAGGTTTTTTTGTATTGAAGTCATTGAATTTTGTATGGAAAACTTTATATTTTGTATTCTATAGATTACATTTGTTTAAAATTGTATCATTGACACACAAAATATATTTCTGACACAAAATGATAAATCTTTAATGCATTTAACCTATCCCCCTTACCATCTCCTCCCTCCTCCCCTCCTGTGGCAGCAGCTTCTTCCATCTTAGCTTTCAGGTCCTGTTGAGATCTCATAAATCTTTGCTGCTGTGCCTTCTCATTCCCTAACTTCTCAAACTCTCCTTCTAATTCAGTCACCTATTGTAAAAACGACAAAAACATTGAAAAATATCATTAAATGAAAGTAACTGGAGAAATGTAGATTTTTGAACTTAGTTGCTGAAATCTATCAAATATTGGTAAATATGAATCTACTGATTAAACCTAGTTCATATCTACCATATTGACAAATGGATAAAGGATGAATCTACTGATTAAACCTAGTACATATCAACCATGTTGACAAATGGATAAAGGATGAATCTACTGATTAAACCTAGTACATATCAACCATATTGACAAATGGATAAAGGATGAATCTACTGATTAAGCCTAGTACATATCAACCATATTGACAAATGGATAAAGGATGAATCTACTGATTAAACCTAGTACATATCAACCATATTGACAAATGGATAAAGGATGAATCTACTGATTAAACCTAGTACATATCAACCATATTGACAAATGGATAAAGGATGGATCTACTGATTAAGCCTAGTACATATCAACCATATTGACAAATGGATAAAGGATATCCACTAGTTATGTTTTGTCACCTGTAATGATAAGAAATATTAACAAATAAAGAAAAAGCTGGAAAGACTGCCAATTATATATACAATGTAGACACAGCATACAACACTTAATTTTACTAATTCAATAATTGATCAAATATTACTGACTTGCACTGGTTTAAAATGTGACATTTGTGGTTTGATAGCATTGCCAATCCATCTGTATATTTCTATAACTAGCTGCTTCGTCTCTTCACGGATGTTCTTATCTCGGTCTTCCAATAGTTTAGGTAAAATTTTCATCACTGGCTTAATTGGCATTACTTTATAACCAAATTCACTGAAATAAATAAAAGAAGTGATATTTATTTCCTAATCTGAGATGTTTCTGTAATGGCAGCTTCCATTCTTCAGTAGTATTTTTCAAGCTGAAAAAAAAAATTCCCAACTTTTATTTTAGTTTCAGAAAGTACAAGAGTGCACACGCTGAAATGTCTCGCCTTCTTTACTGACCATTGATTTTATGTTGATAGTCCTAAATATAAAGCTTTACTAAAAGTATCACATAAACTTAACATGATCCAAGAAAATGAGGTCAAGGTCAGATAAACCAAACCGGAAATACATGTACACCTTACAATCATTCAATACACCAAATATGGTTGACCTATTGCTTATAGTTTCTAAGAAACAGACTTAAACAGGAAAACTAAACATTGACCAATGAACCATGAAAATAAGGTCACGGTCAGATGAACCATGCCAGACAGACATGTACACCTTACAATCAATCTATGCATTAAATATAGTTGACCTATTGGTTATAGTTTAAGAGAAACAGACCAAAACACAAAAACTAAACACTGAGCAATGAACCATGAAAATGAGGTCAAGGTCAAATAAAAACTGCCAGACTGACATGTACATTGTAAAATATTTCCATACACCAAATATAGTTGGCCTATTGCATATAGTATTAGAAAAAAAGACCAAAACACGAAAACTTAACTTTAACCACTGAACCATGAAAATGAGGTCAAGGTCAGATGACACCTGCCAGTTGGACATGTACAACTTACAATCATTCCATACACCAAATATAGAAGACCTATTGCTTTTAGTATCTGATATATGGACTTGACCATGAAAAACTTAACCTTGTTCACTGATCAATGAAATGAGGTCGAGGTCAGATGAAAACTGACGGGCATGAGGACCTTGCAAGGTATGCACAAATTAAATATAGTTACCCTATTACTCATGATAAGAGACAAATTACCATTACAAAAAATCTTAACTTTTTTTTCAAGTAGTCACTGAACCATGAAAATGAGGTCAAGGACAATGGACATATGACAGACAGAAACTTCATAACATAAGGCATCTATATACAAAGTATGAAGCATCCAGGTCTTCCACCTTGGAAAATATAAAGCTTTTAAGAAGTTAGCTAACGTCGCAGCCGGATCACTATCCCTATGTCTAGCTTTCTGCGACAAAAGTTGCAGGCTCTACAAAAATGGATCATCTGATTACAAAATTATCTTTCATCATATGGAGAAAATGCCATATATAGTTTATTTTATGTTGGTCTTCATCCAAAAACTGTCTTCAAATAAATGCTTAAATAATATAACCACTTGCCCTTGTATTTTTAAATCAAATAAGATATCTGAGAACCAGAGATTTAATTCTTCATGGCCTAATATATTCCTATACAACATATGTCGGTATGTTTACTAAATGAAACTAGTCTTGTTTTAGGGTCAGAACAGTTATCTGTGAAATCTCTTTGGAATATAGCTGTTTCCAATCTTACTCTCCTCCATCCATCAGATTTTACCTTTTTTTGTTCAAGTGATACTTAAAACATCAGTCATGGTGGATGACAAATTCATTTCTTTTTTAAAATGAAATTGTAAAATCTGATTAAAAAAGAAGTTCAACAACTTACTGAAGAGCCATTCTCAATATCTGTATAGATCCAACAACTATTTTAGGATTTTTATTTTCTGTTCCTTGCAATAAACATTCCTGCAAGATAAAGGAAAACAAAATTATTTTGGACAGTAAATAACACATACAAATGTAGTTGAGGCTTATTTATGATTTTTAGAGAGGATTTAACAGGGATTCCCCTTTCAGTACTAACCCCCCTTTCCAAAAAAAATAATTTTGAAGAAATTTTCTTTTTGTAAAATGTGGCTTGTATAGTTCGCACTGGTACATAGTCCGCACCCCCTTCTCCCCACGAAATTTCAGGTAAAAAAAACTTTTTGTAACTGTTAGAAAAGGTCTAATGAAACTCAATTTCAAATCATGCATGGTCGTTTGCGGTATTTTCTTGGAAAAACGTGTTTTTCATCATCAAACGGAAGCTGAAACTGCTTGTAAACGATTCTAGAACACTTCACGATTGTTAAAATAAGTCTAAATCACACAAAAAACAATTTAGAAACTTGTGTATGTTTAAACCGGAAGTTTGAATAGTATGTGTAAAAGAAGAAAAAAAAACGGTGCGAGTCGAAATCCGTACATCATAGATATCACTATAATAAGACTTTGAAAGTAAAACAGTTCCATCTTTATGTAAAACAGTGTTTAATATATCTATTACATTAATGTTTGAAGGGTTTTAAGCTAATATAAAACATATTTGTCAGTATGAAACACGGAAACGGAACGAATAATAACCGATTACGTTTTATAATTTACACATCGTAAGCTGGTTTACGGTTGTCTTTTTTTACTTTTTTTGTATAGTTTCATTCAAGCAGATACCAGTTTATTTTAATCAATGCATTTATAATAATAAAAAGAAACAATTAATTTGTAATGAAGTGTTTAACTTTTAAATTTATCAGTTTTAATTTTCTGTTGAATAAAAATAACTTATTAATATGGATTAGGTAAAATTATTAGTTTGAAAAATGATGAGCGCCCTCTACAATATCAATAACAAACATGGCGGAACGTAAACTAACCACCTCACGATTTTATTTCTCTTTTTTCTTGCTTATTGTACTCTATAGTCTGCACCCCTTCTGGCAGGTTCAATTTTGGAGAATAAAACCGCAGACTATACAAGCCTTTTAACGGTACCAGTAATTTAAAAGACCCCTTACAGTAAAATGCAACTAAACCCTTCAGTCCAGAATAAACCTCATCGGTGGCTGTATTTGGTTTTGAATTCTCTCATTAAAATAATGTATACATGTAGATAGAAATCTCTGTTGAATTCATTCACAGCTTGTTTAGACTCCAGGTGATTTAGAATTTGACACTTTGTTATTGACACCTTATCTTTTTGGAGACCAAATCTTTTCATTTAGATTTCCTCTGTTGTTTTATTGTGCTGTCAGGTTGCTGCATCAGTGTCACATACCTATTTTTATGCCCCCGCCGTAGCGGAGGGGGCATTAAGTTTTACCCTTGTCTGTCCGTACGTCCCAAAATTGGTTTCCATGCTCTAACTTTAGTTTGCCTCAACCAAATGTTATGAAACTTATCCACAATGCTTATTACTACAAAACACAGATAGAGTTTGAATTTTGGTGGCATCACTTTTACCGTTTGAGAGTTATGCCCCTTCACAAATGGAAAAATTGCTGAATTTTTAGTTTCTGTTCTCTACTTAAGTTAGCCTCAACCAAATGTTATGAGACTTACACACAATGCTTATTACCACAAAACTCAGATCAAATTTGGGTAGCGTCACTTTTACCGTTCTTCAGTTATGTCCCTTTATAACTATACGATATGCAAGCGGGGGGCATCATCTGTGTCCACATGGGGACACTATCCACATTTATTTTATTATATTCATAGAAGGTTTGAAAATATTCTTATTTAGTATATAAGAGAGCAAGAATGGAAAAACACAACCCCCAAAAAGACAAAGATAACCTTTGTGCACTAGTATCATTTAGAAACTAAGACAATGTTAACTTTGATTTGATGATATTTTTATCATGGTTTGTATCAAACAGTATACATTTCATAATTATATCAAGACATAATCAGAAAGTCCTGATAACATTCTGTTAATGAAGGAGCATGCAGTGTTTTTGCTTTTAAAGGAATGATTATTTGGTGGTTGCTAAACATCCAGAGGCAAATATTTCGTGCATAATTGGGACAACTTTTACCTTTGAATTTTAATTTTTTTAAAGGTATTATAAATCTATCAAAAAAATCCTTCAGATGTTCACGAGGCATTTATAAGACAAGTCTCTGGTCTGTTATGATGTGAACTAGCACATTAAAACATCAGCTAGTACAAAGCAGGTTTCATATTCATATCTCATTAACATGTTCTAGTCCTGATATTCACGCAATATTTGCCACTTGACATAAAACACCAATTCATCATCTAATTTTACCAAAAACAATTTTACTATTTTTGCAATTTTAAATGGCTAGTTTCATATTCATATCTCATTAACATGTTCTAGTCCTGATATTCATGTAATATTTTCTACTTGACATAAAACACCAATTCATCATCTAATTTTACCAAAAACAATTTTACTATTTTTGCAATTTTAAATGGCTAGATCATGGGTCTTATCCTTCAACTCATTTCAAAAAGCCTTAAATGTTAAACACAATCACATGTAAAATAAATGGGGAATGTGTCCATGGGACACAGATGATGCCCTGCTTGCATATAACGTTATAAAGGGCCATAAGTTACTCAAGAACTGTAAAAGTGACACTACCCAAATTTGAACTTGATGAGTTTTGTGGTAATAAGCATTGTTAATAAGTTTCATAACATTAAGTTGATGTAAACTTAAATTAGAGAACAGAAATGAAAAAATTCAGCAATTTTTCCATTTTTAAAGGGGAATAACTCTAGAACAGTAGAAGTGACAGTACCAAAATTCAATTTTTATCTGTGTATTGTGGTAATTAGCATTGTGCATACATAAGTTTCATAACATTTGGTTGAGGCAAACTAAAGTTAGAGAACAAAAACTAATATTTCAGCAATTTTGGGATTTGTAAAGGGCATAACTTTAGAACGGTGAAAGTGACACCACCAAAATTCAAACTTGATTTGTGTTTTGTGGTATTAAACATTGTGGATAAGTTTCATAACATTTGGTTGAAGCAAACTCAAGTTAGAGCACGGAAACAAAAAATCAGCAATTTTTTCATTTGTAAAGGGGCATAACTCTCAAACGGTAAAAGTGACGCCACCAAAATTCAAACTTGATCTGTGTTTTGTGGTAATAAACATTGTGTATAAGTTTCATAATATTTGGTTGAGGCAAACTTAAGTTAGAGAACGGAAACTAAAAATTTTGCAATTTTTCCATTTATAAAGGGGCATAACTCTAGAACTGTTAAAGTGACGCCACCAAAATTCAAACTTGATCTGTGTTTTGTAGTTATAAGCATTGTGTATAAGTTTCATTACATTTGGTTGAGGCAAACTCAAGTTAGAGAAGGGAAACCAATTTTGGAACGTACTTACAGACTACAAAGGGTAAAACTTAATGCCCCCACCTCTACGGCAGGGGGCATAAAACCATCAATATTGAAAAGAAGATAAAGTCTTATGACAAACTCCGAGCATAAAATTTACCAGACATTATGATCGGTGATATATTTTTCAATATATAATTATCAAAGATATATAGTCTTCTTGTGTTTAACTACCTGAACAACATCTGGTTTTTCTATTTCGACAAACATCAAAACAATTTCTATTCCTTTATCTTTGGTCTTTTGCTTTGGTGCACCAAGACATTTAGCTATTACACCACTAACTACATCAGCACATACTCTGGAAATAAAATCAAGGTAATGTTAATAAACCTCATGTCACTATCTTATATTCATAGTTACATTATTGATGTAAGTCTCCAAAAGAAAAATACATCCAATTGTAAATTAAAATATCATTGAACCATAAAAAAAAACTCCGAGGATGGGAGCAATGAAGCCATCTATAATCATGGTTTTCATCTGGAATACAGTTTAGCTACATAATGAAAGTCTATATGAAGTTGTTTAATGTTTCTATTTGTGATTGATAAGTCAAGCAACTGTCTTACTTGGAAAGAATTTAATTGAACTGAATACCTATACACTCAATGTACAATTGTACTGAATGAAATGAGTTAATATTAAGGCGAAGTGTACGTAATTGCACGCCTCTAGCGGAATTTAGGATAAAAAACGTGCGTCGTTAGTTACGCGGGTTATCTCCCCTACTCCAAGAAAGGAAAAATGGGCACATGAAAGAGAAATAACTTCGTGCGGTCTATCATGAATTCAAACAAGTATTCATGTGCTATCTCAAAATTTCAAAGAAATTATTAGAATGACTCTAATCAGAAATCTGAGTATCCTATTGTGAGTTAGTATGACTATATTACCACTGTTTTTGTTTTAGTTAAACACGCAGGAGCAGGTACACAAAACGACTCGTGTTTATTTCAACAGAAGGTAAAAACGCCTAAACAACAAAATTATAACCAAATAAAAAATAAACCAGTGACAATTCTGCTTCTATTCGTTTCAAATTCATTAAAATCAAACCTGAATTGACCCCCACAATATTTTTTTGAAAAACCATAGTTTTTATTGAATTTCACAGTGTACTGTAGCGTAAAATTGTAGGTAACAAATAATTATATTGCATGTGAATTTGTGTTTTGAACAAGAAAGACGTTGGCATGTCCGTTTTTATGCAATTGAAAATTTTTATGATGTTTTATATTTTATTATTTAGGTAAAAAGTATAAAAGATACGGGGGTAATCGACCACTAGTACAACATTTATAAGCCGAAGAAAAAGCCAACAGCAAAAAAAAAAAAACCCATCAGATTCCGTCCACAAAACATTACACTCTCAGAAACTAAGAATTGAGCACTATTACATTTATCTCAGAATAAGTAAAATCTATGTCATCCAAATCTCAGTTTTCAAGGTGCAAAAAATAAACAGGTGTCTTCTCTTCCGTCCGCAATTTTTGGGGAAAGTAAAATCTAAATTTAGAACCATGGTTGAAACTGAAACTACACATGTATGATAAAAATAGAATGTGTTATTTTTTTCTTTATCAAATTCAGATTTCAAAGGGATAGCGAAACTTGTTTTCTTTTTTGTTGTGCTTTTGTGTATCATTCAGCAGTAGTATGAGGTAGGGGAAGGATGGGGAGGGGGTGAAGAAAATTAGTTCTACAATGTCGGGGCTTTTTATAACCGACTATACGGTATGGATTTTCTCATTGTTGAAGGCCGTATATATGATTGCCTTTAACAATTGCTTACATCCACATCCTTTAAGGTAGCTGGGGTGTCTAAATGTTGGACGATAGATTTTTCTTAAACTTCTGTAAGACTTCTGTGTCAATGTTATATAAATTTCAATATAAAAACTGGGGATCACGGACCTTGTTTTTTCGTAATAACACATTGAAATTAACGAAATTTGGGTTATTTTATATTGTTAATATAGGGGAAACTTAAATTTTCCTTATTGCAGAAACATTAAACGATGGAATTGGCTAAAAGTCGATGAGAGAATTGCTTTTCATTAATAACTCCGAAATATCAAATAAAAATAGGGTGTCACATGCCTTATTTTCTTGAAAAAAATCCCCAAATATTTTAAATATACTTTACGACACTTAATTTCTTGAAAGTTCAATCTTTAAATTTCAAGTTTTAGGTATTTTGTTGTATGTTGAATGATACTTGGTAAAATATTTTTAAAACAAAAAAGTTTTTGCAACATGATCAGAACGGACGCTCAGAAAAAGGAACCCGATCTACCTTAAACGTGGCAGATAGTTGTCTCATTTGCAATCATACCACATCTCCTTATGTTCATATTATATTAACAAAACTGCAATTCAAATTTGCACTATATACAGGAACAATTTGTATGGCACTATACTAGGTAAACTCGTATAGCATCGCTCTTGGTACATTCTTATAGCATTACACCAGTACATTTATAGCATATCACTATGCACAAAGCTTTAGCATTACACTATACACAATGCTATAGCATTAAACACGATATACACAATGCTAAGGCTAACACTGGGAATGATCTGTGCTACGTGAAGTTAAAACTCCAATCTGTTTTACCTTGCTAAAATTCATATGCGGGTTCTTCTTTTGACCTTATTACAGTCATAAAAATTCTCAAGATAATATGCAGATGCAGTTTTCTTATTTTTTGGAGTCTTGCATGTGGATATTTAACAAATAATGGTACAAAAAATTATTTCCTTTTTTACTTAAAATCTCCAGCAAACATTATATCATGCTTTGTCGTGTAGTTAAAGAAAAGGGAAAGCGATCGAGACAGGAAATTTTTTAAATAAAATTGCAGAGTTGTGTCACGTGCACGCGTGTGAACCTGACAAATAAAATGGGCTTTGTGCGCAATACCTCGAATAGCGCCGGAAATGGTGAGGATGAAAAGATGCAGCAAATTATATTCACTTTTTTAAAATACAAACATGCAGAAATAAGATTTAAAAAAAGACGTGTATACGCGATCCCAATATTATAACCGATTATTTAAATACGTATAGAATCATTCTGTCAACGCTGTGTTAACTGGGACAATTTCAAACTTGATATTTGATTCATAATTATTAAAACAATACACTATAAAAATAAAAAGAAGATGTGGTATGATTGCTAATGAGACAACTCTCCACAAGAGTCCAAATGACACAGAAATTAACAACTATAGGTAACCGTACGGCCTTCAACAATGATCAACGCCCATAGTCAGCTATAAATACATGCATTTCAAAAAAGATGTGGAACCCTGTCTAATTAAAAAAAGATGGAGTTAAAGTCTATACAGTAACTTTCTTTCACTTGCAGTATATTTATTTGCCAATTTGTTTTTTTTTTTGGCAGCAGAATTATCCTTAAAAACAGTTAGTTTATTTCCTTATCAATTGATTACGCTTGAGCATTTGCAATAATTAGGAAAATGGGTTATACCCACTCACGATTTTTTTACAACACTGTACGGTATAATAGCGTTATAGAGTAGAAATTGTGATGACGTTACAGTAGACATCAATTACGTCGCCGAATGTTTTTATTCTTTCCGCTAAAAATCAAACTTTAACAGGATATAGCTTGAAAACTAGCACGGTTGCTAAGGACTTTCTTTGCACCAATGGGTTCGTCGTTCATCTTTGAATCGCATATCGATTTTTAAAAAAATTCTGTGGACCAACGAATTAGAAAATCTTAATAAAGTAAAAATATCTGCCGATTTTTATGATTTTCCCTATATATCCTTTGTATTTTTGGCGTATCATGCTGTTAATTTCAACAGCTTGTATTTGAAAAACGAAAACGGTTACCCCTTTTTTTTATTTTATTGTCTGGTGTATTTTTACAAGCAGAATCCACATGTAAAATTTAAAAAAATTCTGTGGAGTAGTTAATTACGTATACTTCGCCTTAAACAAAATCCCAATATCAACCAATCCAGTCTTTCATTACAGTATCGATGATCATTGCAAAAAATATAAATAGCATGTTAGGCAGTTAATTTAATATTACACGTTTTAAAATTTAAGCAAAGAATTGTGTGTCAATAATAAAGTGTTGATGTACTAAAATAAGAATATGGACATGATGGAGCCTGTTTTGTGCTAGACTGACATGCTTGGTTAAATTCACTGACAAGTCCTAAAATCATGCTAACATATTTGCAAATAAAATGCTTCGCTGGGCGCAGCTTGATACGACCGCAGAGGTCGAACCCTGAACAGTTGGGGCAAGTATGGACACAACATTCAAGCTTGATACAGCTCTGAATTTGGATTGTGATTAAATATTTGACACAGCATAGGTTTCTGACACAGAAAGAATGTGGTCTAAGAAATTGAATTTTTTTAATTTACCTATTATGGTCCAATGTCCAAAATCAAAATACATGGTTAGATTCAGCATATCAAAGAACCCCATATATTCAATTTTTGTTGAAATCAAACAAAGTTTAATTTGGACCCCAATTTGGACCAACTTGAAAACTGGGCCAAAAATCAAAAATCTAAATACATGTTTGGATTCAGCATATCAAAGAACCCCATATATTCAATTTTTGTTGAAATCAAAAAAAGTTTAATTTTGGACCCCAACTTGGACCAACTTGAAAACTGGGCCCATAATCAAAAATCTAAACACATGTTTAGATTCAGCATATCAAAGAACCCCAAGAATTCAATTTTTGTTAAAATCAAACTAAGTTTAATTTTGGACCCTTTGGACCTTAATGTAGACCAAATTAAAAAACAGGACCCAAAATTAAAAATCTAAATACACGGTTAGATTTGGCATATCAAAGAACCCCAATAATTCAATTTTTGATGAAATCAAACGAAGTTTAATTTTGGACCCTTTTGACCTCAATGATTTAATTTGATAGCGGGGTCCACAAATAAAAAATCTAAATACATGGATAGATTCAGCATATCAAAGAACCCCATATATTCAATTTTTGTTGAAATCAAACAAAGTTTAATTTTGGACCCCAATTTAGACCAACTTGAAAACTGGGCCAAAAATCAAAAATCTAAATACATGTTTAGATTCATCATATCAAAGAACCCCATATATTCAATTTTTGTTAAAATCAAACAAAAGTTTAATTTTGGACCCTTTGGACCTTAATGTAGACCAATTTGAAAACTGGACCCAAAATTAAAAATCTAAATACACGGTAAGATTCGGCATAACAAATAAATAAATGTGGTCTAAGATTTTACAAATCTAATGCGCCATACTGTGCAATTAAAGATTACTTCTTGAAATTTTTCAATATTTGAAATTTGAAAAAAAAATATTATTTGAAGAATAATTCTTTTTAATTTCTGAAATCTGAAAAAAAAATTGACCCCCCCCCCTTTTTCCCCCAAAAAAATTCTTTCCCTCAAGATATGGTCATAATCTCAATTCAAATTTCCAATGGAGTTTGCAACCATAATTACCCATTTAAATTTACCATAGTGCTAACTTAATCTATTTTATAATAGAATTTAAAATATAGTGTCAAATCTTTCATATGGATTTTTTTGTAAAAAAAAAAGATGCAACATTTGCAGATATTTTTACTGGTCTTCCTTTATAAATATGCATTTCTTTAAACATAATTTAAAAGCAGTGTAAGGGAAGTAACCAAAACGTTGTATTTGGATTACCTCCCTTACACTGTTTTAAATTATCTTAATTGTTCATTAATCATTACTTTATACATAATTTAAAAGCAGTGTAAGGGAGATAATTTCAATGATGTATTTGATTTATCTCCCTCGCACTGCTTTAAATTATGTTTTGTACTAAAGTATTTGTCCATTAACCAGGACAACCTTGTTTTTCTCCCTTTTTTGCCCCTAATTCCTAAACGGTTTGAGCCATAACCCCCCAAAGCAAATCCTAACCACCCCTTTGTGGTATGGAAACTTGTAGTATAATTTCAGAGAGATCCATACACCATTCCACAGTTATTGTCTGGAAACTAGAAAATGCTTATTTTTTGCCCCTTTTTGGCCCCTAATTCCTTAACTGTTGGTACCATAACCCCCAAAATCAATCCCAACCTTCCTTTTGTGGTATTGAACCTCATGGTAAAATTTCAAAGAGATCCATTCACTTAAACTAAAGTTAGAGTGCGAAAACCAATGTGTCTTCGGACGACGACAACGTCATACCAATATACGACTGCGGTCGTATAAAAAGTAACTTCCATCAATTTGAAAGTTATTAATATGACCAAGCATGTGATGAAACTCAATAATTTCTGCACTTAAGCAGAATTTGCAATCAATTAAATGAGATTTAGGTCTGCATCAACGAGACAGCAATCTAACGGCACAATAAATGCAAAAGGTCATGCATATACCATGTGATTCCATATGATGGTGAAAGTAAGTGACAAATATCATACATCTTGCAGTCATACAAAAATGATCAAACCTGGATGCTACAGCAGCATTCTCTACAAATGCTAGAACAGCATCCAATGCTTTTTCTTGAGCCACGGCATTGGAATCAGTTACAAATTTCTTCATAAGGCCAGCATAGCGCTGAAATTCAGGAGACTTTGGGTCAGTCTGTTGGCTAAATATCTTTGTAACTTCTTCATATCCTGCTAGACGTGCTTTCCATGTCTATAATACAAAAAAAAAACAAGTTAAATTCCTCCTGCAACCCTAAAGCTTCTATTTACTAGTACTCTTCCCATTCTATTCAAGACAGTGGGTAGGTCACCCATGTCCAATCAAGTTTGAACCTCTCATGTAGTTAAAACTTTTTTTTTTAATTCATAACTAAACAAGTATTGCAATCAAGTTATAAAACACTTATTCAAGTTATTGTTCTACATCTTGTTGATACTAATATTTTGACATTGCACTATGTTATATGCTTTTCTCAGATTGCTTATGATGTCATTACACTAACTCTGTTGGTGGTGTACTAATTGATGTTTTAGTTTGGGATATCATATATAACCTATATCTATGTGAAAAAGCTTATTTTTTACCTTATGTTGGCACTTTTCTTCAGCAGGAAGTTTCAGCCATTCACTGTCATCTCCCATTATGGATTAATAATACTCCTGGAAAATATACAATTTGTATATACAAATGTATGTGGTTTATTTTAAAACAAAAAATGATCATTTGATATTTCTTGAAAATGTATTGATTATGTTTATTCTACATAACGAACAGGATGGAACATGTTGCCTTGTATAATCACACTCACCAGATAATACCTATACAGTTCAACCCTGCACGACAATTTCTGTCAGAACAAAAAAATCTACATCTTTCAATTCCATTTATGTATAAACTTGACAATTTTCAAATACTGAGTTAAATCATGAATTTCATGAAATAATTTTTAAAAGTTCATGGAGCTTACCTGCTTATTTACAGTTGTATATTCATTTTTTGGACGGACAAACATTTTAGCTATTTGGCTACACCAAAAGGTGTGTGTTTTAAAATGTTAATAAAAAATTTGGGTTTGAAGGAATATATTGATATTCAAGGGCCTCATAGCACCATGGTGCTATATTTTTTACCATGGTGCTATCTGAATGGATTTTTTGATAGAATGCATTATGAATGCAGTGCTATCATGGCTATAATTTAAAAGAAACAGTGCTATTTTCAAATCCCATGGTGCTACATGTATATAAGAATGTTGGAAAACACTGTTTAATCTTACTTCTCATTCTGATTCTGTGGTATAAATATTATATTTCAATGACACATGTCTATTATTTATAATCTATGAGACATTTTAAAGTGCAAGAAATCAGGGAGCTTTTTACTGTACGGTTACCTATAATCTCGTCCTGAATATGCATGAAACATTTGCCACTGGATGTTAAGCCACCAACAATCAACCTATAATTGCTTTAATCTTCGTCATTTGAAATCTGATGGATAGATGAAGTCCCCATTACAGTAAGAAAATCAAGAAAAACAAAAATCCATATAGTAATGAATCCAAAATTGTTAACTTTTTTGTTTATAACAGCTGCATTTGCACATTTACATAGCTGACCATGGCTGCTGTGTTGTGAAGCATACAAATTATCAGGGTTCGACATTAACTTTTATACCAACTTGTCCAGTTGGGCAAGTGCCCTATTACTTTTACTTGTCCGAAAGTGAAATCTACATGCCCAAACTTTTACATGCTATTTTTGTGGTTGTAATGTAGTACATGCAGATAAAATATAGTTATCATGTATATGGGGTGTAAATTGATTATGGAGTATGAAAATATACTATGAGGCATATATGAGCCGAGGAGGGAGGGAAAAGATCGATGAATATACGGAAATTGGATCATTTACATAGAGATACTTATTTCATAATAATTTATCTAAGAAATGCCATTTCAAAAAACCCTTCTTGATAAACTGACAACAACTGACAAATTTGTTAAAGTTTAATTTCATTTTCTCTTTCAAGCTTTTACGTTTTTCCATCTTAGGGAAATACACATCCGATGTCAAATTATAAAGTTAGAACAACGAAAATAGACCTCCGCTTTCCATTGGTCGGTGGGAATAACACGTGCGTCGGAAACGCCCGAGTGGTGTCCCGAAGGATAACGATAATGACGAAGCAATATTTTTAAACGTGATCTATTTTTGGTAAAATGGGGAATTCAGTGCGAACAATTGACGAAATATACGCATTGAAGGGGGGTTAAGACCACTTTACTCGACCGTGCGGTGTTATCACTGAGTAATCTATGGACAAAACAACAGACACTATTGATTTTGTGAAATTTTAATCATATAACACTTTTTTTTTCACTTGCCCGATCGGACAACCAAGATGATGTTTTTACTTGTCCGAATACGGCATTAGCTTGCCCCGGGCAATCGGACAACCGTAAGTGTCGGACCCTGAAATTCTCACAAATTTGTATATGTCTGACTACTGTAAAGCATCATGAAAATAATACTGAATATGACCTCATTCACAGGTAACACCTGCCTCATATTATAACTTCAAATGTTCTGTATTCTGCAGTACGATTGTGTGCATTCTGCAGCGGTGCAAACCAGTGGGGGGATTAATTGCTTAGCTGGAGGAGACACAAGGGAACAGTGCTCAAGGCTCGACTACAAAAATCTCCTCTGGTTAAGACTCATTTGAATCTCCGCTATCTAAACCAGCAAAGCAAGCATTCAAGTATTAGATAGAAAAAGAGGGGCCGTTATAATTAGTCTATGTGCTATTAAAATGTCACTTTAACTTTGTTGAATGCCATGACTTGGTGATATTCATTAATATATCAAAAAAGTATAGAGTATCGGGTTTTCTACACATTGATTTCATAAAATATCAGCCGCGAGCCATGCTGTGAACCTTTTTGCTGAGTGAGTGCAGCAGTTGATATTTTATCTATCGTGCTATTTATGTTCTTTGTCATCGTTTCCCTTCAAGAGTTTTGTGCTAGACAGAATTAAGCTTGATAATGTCTCCTCTCACACTCAGACATTGTGATGTCGCTGATAAGTTCTGCTTATGTGAATATGTCTCAAAATTATCTGTGATACAGGAACTATGTATCGACTGAGCAAGGTGATATAGGGGAAAGGGAAGGACGATTGGGCTATTCCAGAAATAATCCATACCCCCCCTATAGAAGGTACATGTGGTTTGGAAAAAAATCCATGGAAAATTTTGGATGTGGTTCAGAAAAAAATCTGGAATTCCATGTCGGTCCTATAGAAGGCAAATAGATAAATAAAAATATTCCATGGAAAATAATGCTCTTGTTATTAGAAAATTTCTGGAAATCCAGAGCCATCCTACATGTCCTATAGAAGGCAACTATAAAAGTTTAAAAATTCCATGGAAAATCTGGATTTTAGTCACTTTCAGTAAACCTAATTTTTGAGCTTGTATGTGTATGTCTGTAGTTCATTAAGTAATTATAAAGCCCAATATGTATCTTTACAAACAATGTATCAGAATGTGGTTTAGGTTTTTGCACATTGGTGAAGGCTGTATGATATTCTTAAGTTGTTAATATATATCTTTTGACCTCTAGAGGGGAGTTAGTCCAAATAATTGTGATGTCTAGGAAAGCTATTTTAAGTTTTTGCTTTGACGCGCCTTTCTGCATCAATGTTGAATCAAAAGAAGTGTAAATTGAAAAATACCCACAGCAGACGGCATGATTATCTGGACCTATAGTGGAGAGTTGTCTTATTGGCAATTTGGAAATTATACCACCTTTTATTATTTTCATACTACATCCATACATGTTGTAAGCCAGAGTTATCAGTACTGAACTTCAGTCTGAGATTTGTAAATTTGAAATCGTTTGCAATAGGACCTAAAAAGAAGATAAATGTGTACATTTGTTAATGTACCTCAGCTACTAACATTACATTCAGGGGTAAACACGTAGATGCTGATAGTGATAATGCTTCAAAGAGATGCCTACTTCCAACACCACATGACATGTTTGCTTTTTAGTTTATTGGGGCGTTTCTCAACTACTTATTGGAGAGATAATAAATATTATTCCCTCTTTTCTTTTACCATGGAAGTTACATGTTTATCAGTATATTGGCCTGGTATTATAGAACTTGTTTGCTCTTTTGCATTTTCAATAAAATATGTGTTATATTTCATAGCATAGGGGAGGGGGGGGGGAGGAAATTCTCAGACAATAAATGCCTGTGATTCAAAAATTTATTTTGAAACTTGCATTTCTAGAACTTCAAGTGAAATTGAATTGATATGAATACTGTGTATTCTATAATTCATTCATGACAAAAATAATAAAAAAAAAGCTTTATAAACATGATAAATGGTTCTGCATTGACCTATAATGGTTTACTTTTTTTTAAATTGTTAATTGGATGGAGAGTTGTCTAATTGGCACTCACACCACATCTGCCTATATCTAACATCCAAATTCCACTAATAATACTTAAAATTTTGATTTTATAATCAAACTTGATTGTAGACCCAAGTTTGTTTTTTATTATTATGAAGGAGTCATAATTTAATGCAGCTTTTAGATTAATGATAAAAAATGCAAAACATCCATACTCTGAGGCGGATCCAGAAATTTTCATAAGTGGGGGCCCACTGACTGCCTAAAAGGGGGCCCGCTCCAGTCACGCTTCAGTGATTCCCTATATAAGCAAACAATTTTTTTCCCAAAAAGGGGGGGGGGGGGGGGGATGTGCCCCCCCTTAATCCACCTCTGATAACAAGAAATGAAGAATCAAAAGAAATGACATAGTAAATATACTGGATGTTAATATCAAATCAAGATTTTTACAACTATTTACAAGTCAGTGTTTTAAAATAAAAACAAAAACATAGTTCACTATCTGGATTTACAGGGTTTTATTTATGTTCTCTACAAGTATGTTTGTATTGAAATTTGTGAGAAACCACACACCAGGACCCTCCAGGACCTACTGCTTTTCATAGTTGTTGAGGTTGAAGATTATTTTATCTAGCCTTTCAGTTGACTAACAATCAGTTGTTCAAGCTTTATGAAGTCCCACTGTGACCACATGGCCATTTATGTGGACTTTAATTATATAATAATATACTACATGTAATTACTTGAACTACATGTTATAAGACAAAGGAGATAAAAACTAGGAATTATGTATCCACAATCCCTTGCCCGGCAAAAATAAATATTAAGTCTCAGTTTTAAAATTAGAAAAGTTTATTTGTTTATTAATAAGTTGTTTCATTTATTTATCAATTATTATAATACATTGACTCTATTGTCATTTGATGATTATTACAAATTGTTGAAGTGGATTAACATGATTACATCTATTATATAAATATGTTTTGATTATAAACATAATCTATCATCTTTCAGTTTCATTATAACTAATTTTAACTATAAACATGTAAAAATTGAAAATGTCATTTATATTTTTATATTATACAAAATTAGAATTGAACAAAATTATTGTTTAAAAGTTTTGAAATTTTCTTTACTTTCATGATGTTTTAGGAAATTATATATATATAAATTATAACATATGTAAAGAAATACAGATATTTGGAAACAATAAGAACTTGTATAAATCGTTCCCAAAAGAAGGATTGTTATGTCTAGATTTGGTGACTTTAGTTGCAAGCGACAAATAGCAAATCATAAAACTGCATGTACAGGAAATATTAAAAATGTCAAGTTTTTGTTTTGGTTAGAGCAAGGACTTTATATGAGATTAGACACACATTTGTAATGAATTGTGAACTACTTTATAATTTTTTTTAAAAACTTGTGTTGAATTTTTGACACCATTTATATTTGGAGAAAACATTTTCAAAGCCTGTGATACGAGAACATTAAATTTGATAACTTCTCAAATTTCATTCCAGTATACAATTTTTTTTTTAGAAAATCAGTCTTTTCTTATTCAAATTTATATTGAACATTTTATAATATAGATATAAAGATAAAATACATACTAAACACAAATATTATTTTGCGGAAAAAAAAGAAAAAAAAGGGGGGGATGTCTGGAGCTTATAAAATTCAAACCTCAGAAGATTTTGCCACTAGCTGATTTTGATATCAATGTATTTATGTGGAACAATACTTTTACACTATATAGTACACATGTGGTAATTTCTGGTCAGTCATCTAAGATATTGTGGTAATCAGAAGATTTCATGCGGTGATGACAAATAAACAAGTGTTTGAAATTAATGATTTGTCAATAAGCTGTTAATTGGTTAATGTTCTGCCTATTTTGCTGAAGAAACTCAAAATCTGGTGTTTATCATGTATACAGCTTGAAAATCAGAGCAGATAGGTTTTTTTCCTAACAATAGATATTAGAAAATGATAAGTTCAATGTTATTATAGGCACCAATTATGATTTGAATCATCGTTATAAATATGATAGTAAAGTCACAATAAAACTATTAGAAGAAAAAAATATCTCCTTATTTTAAGCCACTGTAAAACATTTGGTCATAATGGAATTGTTTTGAGTTGTAAATATCATTTCAATTTTTTAAAAGGCTTTGTTTCATTCTTGGAAAAGTTTTCTTTTTCTTTTATGAAGTCAAGTTAACATGTACATGTATATAAATTTGCATTTCAAATATCTGAATTGAGAACCATCATGTTTAAGAATTGATTTTCAAATGTTTAGAAAAATATATCAAACTTGATGATTTCTTTCTTTGTGAATCCAGTACACAAAAAAAAATAATTAAAAAAATTGAAAATTTGTAAAAAATCATTTAATATGGTCATTTATGCCTTATTTATTCATATATCTCAAATGTGTTGGTAATATGCTTTAAATTACACTAAAATAGGAGACAAACTATCCATATTTTTTTTAAATTTATGAATTTCCTTGTAAATGATGTAGTAACAATTTGTAAACTGATCAAAACATCAGCAGACAGCTAGTCACTGATGTTTGCCAGGTCAGGTGTTGCATTCCCAAATAGCAATAAGGTTTATTGACTGTTAAAGATGATAAATAATCATTAATAATGTTTAAGATGATGTAAGCATACAAAAACACAAGCTCTTATGATCTTTTAAGTCAATCCCTATAACTTTAAAACAATGTCATGAATGAGTTGATATAAACAAGGAGTTGATATAAACAAGAAGATGTGGTAAGAGTACCAATGAGACAACTCTCAACCCAAATCACAGCGCATAAAAATTTAACAATTATAGGTCAAAAACATGGAGACTTGGCTCACACCAAACAACAAGTTATAAAGGGCCCAAAAAATAACTGAAAAACCAACTGTCGAATCAATATGTAAAAACAGAAACCAGAAACACCTATGAACAAGTTTCTACACCAACAAATGACAACCACTTAACAATGGCATCTGATTTAGGACAGGTGCATACAAAAAAATGCAGCATTTTAGACATAATATAACAGGAGCCAATCTTCACCCTTACTGGAGACTGTAATGTAACATTACAATATAAAAAGACTCACTATAAATTATCAATTGAAATGGATGAACTTGATCACAAAGACATTTAAACAAAAACAAGTAAGCATACAGATATATGCATACACTCAAATGAATGCCAGTTTGATATAATCATCTACATGTATGAAACAATATAATCAATATAAACAATATAAAATTTTCTGTTGGAAGTTAAATTTGCCTGGAAATTTTCTTTTGGAAGTTAAATTTGCCTGGAAATATTTATTTCCACAGGATACTTTCTTGGAACTTTTAGTATTATTCTCATTTTTTTCCTGGAATATTTTTTAGAATTTTTAAAATATTCTGGAAATTATTGCCAACTAAGAGAATATTTTCTGGAAAATCTGAGATTTTTACAGATTTTTTTTCTGGAAATCCTAAACACTCTATAGGGGGGGTATGGATTATTTCTGGAATAGCCCATTAGGCGGATTACAAGTCAGGTCAACACCTCTCATGGAGAAAAAACATCATATATGGCAAAAGTTGACAGTTTGTTACATTTCATGATCAGACAGTAAAACAAAATATGAATCACTGACAGCAGATTATGACAGTTGGCAACTTTACAAGTAAGAAAAACAGAGTACCTGCAAAAACAAAAGGGGATATCAAAGCAATTTTTCGTGACAGTTTCTGATGATGATTTGGTTAAGATCAAAGCAAAAACATACTTACATATATGCAACAAAATATTTAGATTTCTCATATGAGCGCTTGATTTGAATGGTAAATATTTCGGTCAACCGGAAGTTTCGTGGCGCCATCTATAAATTTGGTTTAAGTTATTATTTTTCTTTAATCAATCCAGAATTGTATTAATAAATCATGATCTTTATTTTTTTAAACTACAAAAACATTGTTTTCAACATTTATCAATTTGTTTAAAAGCAAAATGTTGTCACATAAGTTCGAGAACTTTAGAAAAAAAATGGCAGCCTCCATGGAACATACACGATTGACATTTTCCGAGGCAAAATCACTAATTTCAAAGTGCTCATTTTCCCACCTTGAAGCTGTTTCATCTAAGCGACATGTTGTTTTACCTCCTAAGTTTTTTAACAGTATTTTACAAGGCGTGAAGGAACATCTCAACTCCGAACTGCAGTTAGTTGCAAGCTGGTAAGAACCCAAGCGCTTTGCCTTTGGATATCCCCCTTTTAAAAAAATAATTTTCCGTGTACCACTTAAACGGGCACTTATATGTTTTTGCAATAAATTTCTCTACAGTTTCAGCTTGTATTCCCTTAAAATTGAGACAGATAATAAAGGACGGAGTCGGTGTAAAGTGCAAAATGGAGCATCCCCCCCCCCCCTTTTCCCATAAGGACTAATACTACAGTAAAAATTAATATGAGGCAGGCGTTACCTGTGAAAGGGGACGAAGTCTGTATGAATTTTTTTTTTTTAATTCAAACATATTTTAACTTCAAAATCTGTTCAAAAAGAAACGGAAATACCCTTACGTTTCCGATTTCAGTTCTGTTGTTTGGAATTTTAGTTGTGACGTTATTTATGTTATGACGTCATATTCAATGTAAACAAAGAAACGCTATCAGGTAACGTTTTTTCATATCAAGCCATTCAAGGAATTATTAAAAATGGAATTGGTATTGCGTTCCTTCCTATATTTTACTAGACTGATAAATATATATTTTACTCAAAGACTCATGCAAACGAGACTGGAAAAAGGATGTAGATTTCTGTGCAAATGCGGGAAAATATAAAAGTCTGAAAATAAAAAAGTTAATGATTTTGAGTTCATTAGTAGAATGAAAATTTCGGGAAATTTTCCAGATTTCTTTTTTTTTTTTTTTTTTTTTTTTTTATTGATTTTTCTACTGTAATAGGGGACTTCGTCCCCTTATTATGACGTCTTGAAAGGCTCATAATTATTTGGACTAGAGGACTAACAGACTAAGTCTGTATAACAGTCTGTACCAAAATCTTTTCCAACAACTAGTCCGAAGACCAATATTCTGACAATTTTCTTATATGTCTAAACAAAGTTCTACAATTACTTACTAGTCCAAATAAAATTTTACTAGTCTGGGTGCAGACTAGTATATTAAAACATGATAAATATCTATTTAAATACTGATTTTTGATTTTGGAATTTTTTTTACCTAGAGCATCATTAAATTCATTTAATTTTTACATTTTATAAATTATGACATTATATAAAATCACGATCATTAATAAAAACTTATGAATATATGAGCTACCCCACATTTTCATCTGAAAACTTCAAAGATGCAGCTAATTGTTGGCTCTGTTTGACCTAGGGGGCAGAATTTTATAGGGTCCTTCAAATGACGTCTTTGAATCAGACCAAATGACCGACAAAAATTTTATACGACCGCAAAAGGTCGTACATGTATGTTGCTATCACGTCGTCAAAAAGGGGCCCAAAACAAGTATTTTTGTAGTTTCAGGACAAAAACTTGTGTATAAGTATTTTGATTGCTCTGAAATTGTACCTTAATGTTCAATACCACAAGTAGAAGGTTGGGATTCATTTTGGGGGTAATTGCTCAAACTGTACTGGAATTAGGGGCCAAAAAGGGCCTAAAACAAGCATTTTTCTAGTTTTCAGACAATAACTTGTGTTTAAGTGTATTGATGTCTCTTAAATTGTACCACATTTTACAAAAAGAAAATTTCTTCAAATAGTATTTTTTTTGGAGGGGGGGGGGGGCAATTTTTTTTCCTCAAGATTTAAGAAATTTAAAAGAAAATTTCTTCAAATATTTTTTGGAAGGGGGGGGGGGTCAATCTTTTTTTCCTCAAGATTTAAGAAATTATCAATTTTCTAAAAAATTGGGGGTCACAATTTATTTTGCTTTTTCTTTGTATATAGTCTGAAGACAGATTTACTAAGTATTGCGCAACAGCTCAGTGTATTGCACAACAGCAAGAAATCTTCAATTGAATATAAATTCAAATCATATAACCAATTTCAAGTTCTTTGACTACATTTAATTTGTGTTAGAAACCTATAATGTGTCAAATATTTAATTACAATCCAATAATTCAGACCTGTATCAAGCTTGAATATTGTGTCCATTTTGCCCCAACTGTTCGGGGTTGGACCTCTGCAGTCGTATCCAGCTGCGCTCTGCAAAGCAGTTTATTACTGTTTGGGGTCGTCAAAATTGAAATTTCTGTTGGTCCTGGTTAACTTGGCTTCAAAATCAATTATTTAGTTTAAAAACATTAAAAACCAAAAGTTCTAATGACACATAATACGTTGGTATTAATTGTTTTTGGCTTTTAACTAGCTTTCAGTAACTGCGAGTACTCTCAACTCGTACTTTCGTGTTAATTTGACCTGTTGACACAATTTGTAATGCATTTCTGTCATGTCTGTTATTCAATGTTAACTTATTTTGTGTTATATCTCGTCTCACTATTTTTGATATGTACCACCTTTGATAAGTATTTAGCATGACGATAAATTTTCACTTCTGTACTCGTACAAATTTATATATTTTGTAAAAAAAAAATTTTCCATACTAACAACAATATTATTATATTTAAATTTACCTGTGTACGTTATTTTATTTAATGCCATTTTGTCCCAAGTTAGAGTTGTCTTTTTGACATTGTTCCCTACATCTTTTTTTTTATTAATATTGTATTTTTATTGTGTCATTGATCAAACTTATTCGTTCAGTGTATGTTTACTTGTTTTTGTTTACATGTCTTTTTGATCGAGTTAAGCCATTTCAATTGATATTTTATAGTGTGTCTTTTTATGTTGTAATGTTACACTACTGTTTCAGGTTAGGGTGAAGGTTGGTGTCTGTTAAAACATTTAAACTCGCTGCATTTGTATGCACCTGTCCTAAGTCAGGAGCCTGTTGTTCAGTGGTTGTCGTTTGTTGGTGTGGTTCATAAGTATTTCTCGTATCTCTTTTTTTATTTAGATTAGACTGTTGGTTTTCCTGTTTGAATTGTTTAACACTAGTCATATTGGGGCCCTTTATAGCTTGCTGTTCGGTGTGAGCCAAGGCTCCGTGTTGAAGGCCGTAGTTTGATCTATAATTGTTTACTTTTTGTCGAGCCTGCGACTTTTGTCGCAGAAAGCTCGACATAGGGATAGTGATCCGGCGGCGTCGGCGGCGTTAGCTTACTTCTTAAAAGCTTTATATTTTAGAAGGTGGAAGGTCTGGATGATTCATACTTTGTATATGGATGCCTCATGTTCCGAAGTTTTTGTCAGTCACATGTCCAATGTCCTTGACCTCATTTTCATGGTTCAGTGACTACTTGAAAAAAAAGTTCAGATTTTTTTTTAATGTTAAATTCTCTCTTATTATAAGTAATAGGATATCTATATTTGGTATGTGCATACCTTGCAAGATCCTCATACCCGTCAGACAGTTTTCACTTGACCTCGACTTCGTTTCATGGATCAGTGAACAAGGTTAAGTTTTGGTGGTCAAGTCCATATCTCAGATACTGTAAGCAATAGGTCTAGTATATTCGGTGTATGGAAGGACTGTAAGGTGTACATGTCCAACTGGCAGGTGTCATCTGACCTTGACCTCATTTTCATGGTTCAGTGGTCAAAGTTAAGTTTTTGAGTTTTGGTCTTTTTTTCTAATACTATATGCAATAGTTCAACTATATTTGGTGTATGGAAATATTTTATGATCTATATGTCAGTCACGCAGGTTTTATTTGACCTTGACCTCATTTTCAAGGTTCATTGCTCAGTGTTAAGTTTTTGTGTTTTGGTCTGTTTTTCTTAAACTATAAGCAATAGGTCAACTATATTTGTTGTATGGAAGAATTGTTAGCTGTACATGCCTGCTTAGCATGGTTCATCTGACCTTGACCTCATTTTCATGGTTCATTGGTCAATGTTTAGTTTACTTGGTTAATGTTAAGTTTATGTGAAAGTTGTGATAAAGCTTTATATTTAGGACTATCAACATAATATCAATGATTAGTAAAGAAGGCGAGACATTTCAGCGTGTGCACTCTTGTTATACATTGTGACTTGGATGGAGAGTTGTCTCATTGGCACTCATACCACATCTTCTTATTTATAAACGTGCTGATATAACTATAGGTCACAGTATGTTCTGGTATTGATTCTGGTTAGGCCATGCAAAAAAAGGTTGTCGATTTCCCCTAACCCTGCCCGGTCTGTTTTTTACCCTCCAGGTCAATTCTTTTTTATGCCCCCGCCGTAGCGGAGGGGGCATTAAGTTTTACCCTTGTCCGTCTGTACGTACGTACGTACGTACGTACGTCCCGAAATTGGTTTCCGTTCTCTAACTTGAGTTTGCCTCAACCAAATGTTATGAAACTTATACACAATGCTTATTACCACAAAACACAGATCAAGTTTGAATTTTGGTGGCGTCACTTTAACCGATCTAGAGTAATGCCCCTTTATAAAAGGAAATATTGCAAAATTTTTAGTTTCCGTTCTCTAACTTAAGTTTGCCTCAACCAAATGTTATGAAACTTATACACAATGCTTATTACCACAAAACACAGATCAAGTTTGAATTTTGGTGGTGTCACTTTAACCGATCTAGAGTTATGCCCCTTTATAAAAGGAAAAATTGCAAAATTTTTATTTTCTTCTAAATATCAAGTTTATATAATATATTTTTAAAATTGGAGTTATCTTCCTTTGACCATGATTATAGTTGAATCAACTACAATCAATGCTTTATACAATGCAATGTTTAATTTTGACTTCCACTGATAAAACACAGATCAAGTTGAATTTGGGTAGTGTCACTTTAACCATTATTGAGTTATGCCCCTTTATAAATAGAAAGATTGCAAAATTTTTTAGTTTCCATTCTGTAACTGAAGTTTTCCCCAGCCAAACATTATGAAACCTATACACAATATTCATTACCACAAAACTCAGTAAGGATCAAGTACAATTTTTTTGTTTCAGTTCTCTAACTTGAGTTTGCCTCAACCAAATGTTATGAAACTTATACACAATGCTTATTACTACATAATACAGATTAAGTACGAAATTAGGTGGCAACACTTTACCATTCTAGAGTTATGTCCCTTTATAAATATAAAAATTGCTGAATTTTTTAGTTTGTCTCAACCAAATGTTGTAAAACTTATACACAACTGTTCTAGAGTTATGCGTGTTTACAAATAGAAAAATTGCTGAATTTTTAGTTTCTGTTCTCTACTTAAGTTAGCCTCAACCAAATGTTATGAGACTTACACACAATGCTTATTACCACAAAACTCAGATCAAGTTCAAATTTGGGTAGCGTCCCTTTATAACTATATGATATGCAAGCGGGGGCATCATCTGTGTCCACATGTGGACACTATCCACATTTATTTGAACAGATGTTAAAAAAAGAGTTGGACTCTTGTAAGACATTTATCAATGATGCTTTAATTGTCTGATGATTTCTTAAAAATGATTTATTTATCATTCTAAAAGTTTAAAATATCAAACACTGATTAATAATATATAAATGTACTTGTATTTACATTGTGCAACCTTCCATTTACAGGACAGATGGAGTACTAATGGCCTATAACAATGTGAAAATCTTGGAAACAGTCGGAAGGATATTTGATGAATCTCCTTACATTCATTTTAATGTAGAAGCAGACTTTATAATGTTTAGACCTACAGTTGGGTGTTTGTTGAAGGGAATTGTCAACAAAAAGAGTACTTATCATGTTGGCTGTTTGGTCCATCAGTGTTTTAATGCTTCCATACATAAACCAAAAGACATGCAGTCAGAATGGGAAGGCACACAATTGCAACTAGGAGATGAGTTTATTTTCAAAGTCACAAACATTTATACTAATAATGGAGTATTATCACTAAGAGGCAATATTCACGAGAAGTAAGTTTAAAATTATATCGGTATATTTCAGAAAAAATGTGAGTTTAATTATTGCGATTTTAGGAAAAGCTTCATACAGACATATATGTACCAGATATCAGAATGTGAGTTCTTATTATTGCGATACTCAAGGAGTCACATTATTTGCATTAATAAAAACCTCACAATAATTTCTGAATTTACAGTATTAAGATGGTTTGTTTTGTTTGTTTCATTGATTGGCTGTCTCAATGATGTTTACCCCACATCTCCTTTTATTCATATATATACATTTTGAGCATTCATCTGCTGGAAGGACCATGACATATTGAGTCACATTGTTGCTACATACTTTAGACATATTTTGATATCCTAGAAAGACAGGATTTAACAAAAGCTGGGAAGAGGATAACTACTGGGTAATATATTAAGTACCAGACAAAAGGTAGTTCACTTGATGTTTGTACCAACCAAGCTTTATGTAACTTGAAACAATTTTAACTATTTCATAATCACTTTTACCTTTGTTTACAGTGGATTCATTATTATTTATTATTATTCTTTGATTTCGTGGTTACTGGTGAACCATGAATTTAAATGTTTACAGCTCTTCTATAAAAGCATGCAAAGCAAACCTTTGATCAACTTGCTTGCTATGTTTGTTTGGATGTTTGTAAACAAAAGGTAGATAGTCTGTTTCAGTCTGTTTACTATATAATGGAATTTGATTGGACAATAAGCATTAACTTCATTGCATGTCAATTTTTATTGTCCAATCAAATCCCAGTATATATAAAACAGACTGGAACTCCGCCTACCTATTGTTTGCAAACATCCAAGCAAACATAGCTAGCAAGTTGATCAAAGGTTTGCTTTGCATGCTTTTATAGAAGAACTGTAATGATTTATAAATGTACCTATAATGGTTTACTTTTATAAATTGTTACTTGGATGGAGAGTTGTCTCATTGGCACTCATACCACATCTTCCTATATCTATGTAGATTAGCTGTAAAAGAGCTGTAATCACAAAAGTAACATACCTTGATTTACATTAATAAGCAGCTTCTTAGTACACACATATATATATATATATATATATATATATATACCAGTTTTGAGTAGGCCGACTACCACTGACAGATAAAATTATGTTCATAACAATGAATCCAGATGAATGAGAAGAACCTATCGTTCATTTCAATACTAAATAACAGTGGGAATAATGGCTGAAAGAATATCAGACATTGCGGAATGAATGGGTCTTCATGGGCTAAAAAGGGAAATTATACATGTAGCACTTTTTATACGGCCGCAAAAAAATTTTTGTGGTCGTATATTGGTATGACGTTGGCGTCGTTGTCGTCGTCGTCCGGCTTCGTCCGAAGACACATTGGTTTTCGCACTCTAACTTTAGTTTAAGTGAATGGATCTCTATGAAATTTTACCACAAGGTTCAATACCACAAAAGGAAGGTTGGGATTGATTTTGGGGGTTATGGTACCAACAGTAAAGGAATTAGGGGCCAAAAAGGGGCCAAAAAGGGGCCAAAAATAAGCATTTTTGTAACTTCCAGACATAACTTGTGTGTTAGTGTATGGATCTCTCTGACATTGTACCACAAGGTTCCATATCACAAAAGGAATGCTGGGATTGATTTTGGGGGTAATGGCCTCAAAATTTTAGGAATTAGGGGCCAAAAAAGGGGCAAAACACAAGCATTTTTCTAGTTTCATGACAATAACTTGTGTGTAAGTGTATGGATCTTTCTGAAATTGTACTACAAGGTTCCATATCATAAAGGGAAAGCTGGAATTGAGTTTGGGGGTAATAGCCGAAATATTTAGGAATAAGGGGCCAAAAAGGGGCAAAAAATAAGCAATTTTCTAGTTTCCAGACAATAACTTGTGTTCAAGTGTATGGATCTCTCTGAAATTGTACTGCAAGGTACCATACCACAAAGGGAAGGCTGGGTTGATGATGGGGGTAATTGCCTCAATATTTTAGGAATAAGGGGCCAAAAAGGGGCAAAAAAACAAGCATTTTTACAGTTTCAGGACAATAACTTGTGTGTAAGTGTATGGATCTCTCTGAAATTGTACTGCAAGGTACCATACCACAAAGGGAAGGCTGGGATTGATGATGGGGGTAATTGCCTCAATATTTTAGGAATTTGGGGCCAAAAAGGGGCCAAAAAACACATTTTTCTAGTTTCCAGACAATAACTTTGTGTTCAAGTGTATGGATCTCTCTGAAAATGTACTGCAAGGTACCATACCACAAAGGGAAGGCTGGGATTGAGTTTGGGGGTGATGAATCATAAGGGGGTTCAAAAAATTTGGGGGGGGGATTTTTTTTTTCTTCATTTTTTTTTTCTTTTAAAATTTTCCATTTTAAGTTGGTTATTTCTGATTTATATTTAAAAGCAAATAATAATGATATGGTAGGAGATACACACCAAACAGGATGTGTAAATTATTATATAATGTGTATTGTGCAATAGCAAGAAATTTTCAATTGCACAGTATTGCACAATAGCAAGAAATCTTCAATTGCACAGTATTGCGCAATAGCAAGAAATCTTCAATTGCACAGTATTGGGCAAAAGCAAGAAATATCCAATAGCACAATATTGCGCAATAGCAAGAAATTGTCAATTGTACAGTATTGCGCAATAGCAAGAAATATTTAATTGCAGAGTATTGTGCAAAAGAAGATACTTTGTATAAATTGCTTATTTCTTGACCAATTTCAATGGGGTTTTATTCTTGAATTCTTGGGGTTCTTTAATATGCTGAATCTAACCGTGTATTTAGTTTTTGGATTTTGGGCCCCGTTTTTAAATTGGTCCACATTGAGGTCCAAAGGGTCCAAAATTAAACTTTGTTTGATTTCATCAAAAATTGAATTATTGGGGTTCTTTGATATGCCGAATCTAACCGTGTATTTAGATTCTTAAATTTTGGTTCTGTTTTCAAATTGGTCTACATTAAGGTCCAAAGGGTCCAAAATTAAACTTAGTTTGATTTTAACAAAAATTGAATTCTTAGGGTTCTTTGATATGCTGAATCTAAACATGTATTTAGATTTTTGATTATGGGCCCAGTTTTCAAGTTGGTCCAAATCGGGGTCCAAAATTAAACTTTGTTTGATTTCAACAAAAATTGAATATATGGGGTATTTTGATATGCTGAATCTAACCATGTATTTAGATTTTTGATTTTTGGGCCCCGTTATCAACTTTGTCCACATTGAGGTCAAAAGGGTCCAAAATTAAACTTTGTTTGATTTCATCAAAAATTGAATTCTTGGGGTTCTTTGATATGCTGAATCTAACCATGTATTTAGATTTTGGATATTGGACCATAATAGGTGAATGTCCAATTTAAAAATTTTAAGTTCTTAGACCACATTCATTCTTTGTCAGAAACCTATGCTGTGTCAAATATTTAATCACAATCCAAATGCAAAGCTGTATCAAGCTTGAATGTTGTGTCCATACTTGCCCCAACTGTTCAGGGTTCGACCTCTGCGGTCGTATCAAGCTGCGCCCTGCGGAGCATTTTATTTTTATTGTACATAGAATTTTAAGTGTTCCTCCAATTGAGATTGGATCTTTTCATCTATTTCAAAGACAAACACTTAAAGCTACATGTATGCATCCACAGATTTTGCATAGCTTCTTTCGTTTCCTAGAAAGGAAATAATTTGAACTTTTTTTATTTAATTTTTCTATTAGAACTCATTTAGAAAACCCAGATTTACTTTTTGAATGAGATTTTAGGAAGTTCTTATAACTCTCTCCTAGATATGAAGGGACCCAATGGAAGAAAATTCATTCTGTATGGATGTTCCTCTTAATGAGGGATAAAACAGTAATACAACAGACCATGCACACAACTCTTTCAGTTTCAAAGCCATCATATATAACCATAGTGGTAGAAATCACTCTTTTACATAGGGCATTTTCATACGTACAATATTGTATTTAAAGTCACTTTTGGTATTCACTTGTTCAACGATCTGTGTTGACATGTTGACATGTTGCCTTGTATCATGTTGTATTATTTTTCAAATTATGCTAAAATATTGTAAAGGACTGTTTAAGAATGTACTAAATAGATAGCACTTGTGACCTGAAAGTGTACCATACACATATAAGAGGGATAATACAAGATTACAAAAATCGAATAATAGATTAGAACTATATTTAAGTTCATTGAAAACTTTTGATTTCATTTAATTTTAGAACACCAAAAAAGAAAAAGAAATCCAAAAAGAAAAGTTTAGAAACAGCAGACAGTTCTTTGAAAGACAATGAGGACGACCTTGGGAAAGGAGATAGTTTTGTATCAGATTCAAATAATTCAAATGTGGATAGTGGGATTGGAGATATATCTCTTATAAAACCCCAAAAAAGGAAAAAGAAAACAAATGAAGAAGCAAACAATAACTTAGATATTAACAATGGTTCAGAAACACCAAAACATAAAAAGAAAAAGAAACACAAAAATGAACAAGATCCATACGAAAATGGTTTGGATATAACAGATGAAGACAGTTCCAGTCAAAAAAAGAAAAAGAAGAAACATAAACATGACAATAATGAACATGATAATAGATCAGAAAATGGTTTCTTGTCCAAAAGTATGAATGACGGTAGTTTTAAACAGAAAAAATTTAAGCAAGAAACATTGAACCAAAGTGAATCAGACTTACAGCATATACCTGAAACCAGTCTTATTACTGATTATAAAACTGGGAAAAAGAAGAAAATTAAGCAAGAATGTATAGATGAATCATTATCCTCAGAGAAAATTTCAAAGAAAAAGAGAAGACATTCTAATATAGATGATAGTCAAGACTTTACAGTCTCTTCAACAAAGAAGATTAAAAAAGAAAGAATGTAATTTTATCAAATTGATTAAAAAGTCTATATTAAAAGATTTATTCTGAGAAAGACCACATGAATTAATATAACAACAAATTATGAACATCATTTATCATGTTTATAATTATTGAACAAATCAATGTACAATGTATTGTTTCTCTATCTTCTCAGATTGTCTTTTAACTTGTATCCCATGTTACAAACTATTTGGCAGGACGATGATTTAAATATCTGTCATTCCTTTCTTATTACATGGATATCAATATTTGGACTCATTTGATTTTTGTTTCCCTCTACAACACAGTTCTGGGTAAGAAGAAATAATGGACGTCTGTCTGATCTTGCTTCTACATGTACAATTCTTGCATAATTTCTATGAAACTTATGTCAAAGGTATATCAGTACAGTCTTGGATGAGTTTGATAATCAATGCTGATCAAATAATTTTAAAGGAGTTATGCCTGGCAATAACTCAAGTTAGCTATAGTAAGTTCTTACCAAATTTTTACACAATGCTGGGTTGTATTTAAACATTAATTATTGATTTTAATAATTTTCAGTTTAGTCTTTCAACAGTTAAGACACTTTAAATCAACAAAACCAAGGTTTTTTTCATACCTTGCACAATAACCAGATTATGTTTTCATAAATCCTTATGATTCTTTACTTTTACAGAATGTTAAAAAGAAAATTCAAGTGATGATTTTCAGATTTGTCATTTTACAGTTAAGTAACTTTTGAAAGTTATAAAAAAATAAAAAATTAGTGTATGAAAACTTGTCTTTGTTCCCCAAAACACACGAAATTTTTTGGCAATGTCACAGTTCACAACAACTAATTATATAATAAAAGATTGCCCTGTTTTGATTTTGACAATTTACGAATTAGTTGTTCAAAAGTTCTTGGAGATTAGATGATAAAAATCTAGGCAATGTTTCATATGTCCCGCAATAGCTCAGTATAAAAATAAGAAGATGTGGTATGATCATGATGATTGCCAATGAGAGCACTTTCCACCAGAGACCAAATGACATGGAAGTTAGCAACTATAGGTCACTTCACAGCAACACCCATACCGCATAGCAAGTTATAAAAGACCTCAAAATGACAAAAGTAAAACAATTCAAATGAGAAAACTAATATCTTGATTCATGTACAAAACAATAAACTATAATCAAATATGATATACAGCAACAAATGACAACCACTGAATTACAGACTCCTGACTTGGACAAACACATAATGTGGCGGGGGTAAACAGGCGTCCAACCCTTCCCTAACCTGAGACATTGGTGTAACAGCATAACATAAGATCTATAAAAATCGAGTATGCTTTCACAAATCCTTTTGAAATTTTATCACAATGCTTGGGATTTGTCAAAACTTAACAACTCTATATGTTTATTACAACTTAATTTGCTATCACCCAATCACTAGCAATTATAAGCAATGTCACCACTAATAAAAGTAAGCTCGAGCTCCCTTTTCATTTTTTAAGATTTTCAACTTAATCATTCCAGAGTTAAGGGACTTTATTGCCAGAAACAATGCAATTTTTGTCGAGCCTACGACTTTTGTCGCAGAAAGCTCGACATAGGGATAGTGATCCGGCGGCGGTGTTAGCTAACTTCTTAAAAGCTTTATATTTTAGAAGGTGGAAGACCTGGATGCTTCATACTTTGTATATGGATGCCTCATGTTACGAAGTTTCCGTCAGTCACATGTCCAATGTCCTTGACCTCATTTTCATGGTTCAGTGACTACTTGAAAAAAAAGTTAACATTTTTTGTAATGTTAAATTCTCTCTTATTATAAGTAGTAGGATAACTATATTTGGTATGTGCGTACCTTGCAAGGTCTTCATGCCCGTCAGACAGTTTTCACTTGACCTCGACCTCATTTCATGGATCAGTGAACAAGGTTAAGTTTTGGTGGTCAAGTCCATATCTCAGATACTATAAGCAATAGGTCAAGTATATTCAGTTTATGGAAGGACTGTAAGGTGTACATGTCCAACTGGCAGGTGTCATCTGACCTTGACCTCATTTTCATGGTTCAGTGGTTATAGTTAAGTTTTTGTGTTTTGGTCTGTTTTTCTTATACTGTATGCAATAGGTCTACTATATTTGGTGTATGGAATGATTGTAAGGTGTACATGTCTAGCTGGCAGGTATCATTTGACCTTGACCTCATTTTCATGGTTCAGTGGTCAAAGTTAAGATTTTGAGTTTGGGTCTTCTTTTCTAATACTATATGCAATAGGTCAACTATATTTGGTGTATGGAAATATTTTATGATCTATATGTCAGTTGCGCAGGTTTTATTTGACCTTGACCTCATTTTCACAGTTCATTGCTCAGTGTTAAGTTTTTGTGTTTTGGTCTGTTTTTCTTAAACTATAAGCAAAAGGTCAACTATATTTGTTGTATGGAAGAATTGTTAGCTGTACATGCCTGCCTGGCATGGTCATCTGACCTTGACCTCATTTTCATGGTTCATTGGTCTATGTTTAGTTTTCTTGGTTAATGTTAAGTTTATGTGACAGCTGTAATAAAGCTTTATATTTAGGACTATCAACATAATATAAATGATTAGTAAAGAAGGCGAGACATTTCAGCGTGTGCACTCTTGTTCATCTTTCTCACAATAACTCAAGGTATGCTTTTAGAAATCTGTTTAAAACTCTTGCAAAATTTTGCCCATGTATTAAATTTACATACTATGTCTTCTCTTACTGATTTGTGGATTTGTTAGCTTTTGAAGGCATAATTTAGAATTTTATCTGAATAAGGGATTTAGGGTATAGATGACAATAAGACGGTAAACCAACAATACCAAAAAATAAAAAAATAAAAAAATGTCATCAACAATAGGCAGGTGTCTATAACATATGTCAAGCTATCTTGCGAAACAAAGATAACAGATTACATATATGCCTTGAAATATTGTAATAAACAATAAAACACTAGAAACAGTTTTGATTATCAATTAAAGGTAGTGTCAGTAAGAAAGAAACCCAAAAACACAAATCAGAAGACACATCTAGAGGCTTAATTTTTTAGCATTATTTCACAATTGCTTTAGAGAAGCAGGTTGATAGAATGGCTCCTCCGTCATTTAAGGGAATTCATCAGGGATTGGACATTAATTTTATTCTGTTGTGCTCCCTGAAAAAGTTTCTTGAGCATATAGTTATCAATTTGTCCTGTGTGCTCAAAACAAATGTATTCTGGATAACTAGAGTATGCATTGCTTCATTGGAATGAAATTTATACAGATGGAAGATTTTGGATAGTGGAAGAAGCCTATAGACCTTATTGCTATTTAGAAATCTGCACCGATTGACCTGAGAATCTGCGCCGTTGGAACTATTGACGTCATACAATAATCAATTTTCCTTTGTGGCGTCAGTTATTTTCTACTGTGACGTCAAAATTTTACGGGAACTTTTGTGATGTCCAGTAATGGCAGACAAATAGCGATAAGGTGTATTGATTTTGGTATGAATTGATTTTTGGGTCAACAGGTCAAAGGTCAAGGCCACCTCTTAAAATGTTCTCCAGATGATAATTTGAGTATCACTTGATTGATTGTGATGAAAATTATACATATGAAAGAATTGGTGATGGCAAAGACGCCAATTGATTTGGGGTCAGCAGGTTAAGGTTACTGTTACAAAAAAACAGAAATTATTTAAAAAAAAAATGGTTTCCAGTTGGTAACTTCAGTTTCATTTGATTGATTGTAATGAAACTTAGATTAGATGGAAGATAAAGGGAAGGGGAACGAGATCTATTTATATTGAGATCAAGGTCAGTCACTAAAAAAAAGAAATTATTTAAAAAAAAAAATGGTTTCTTTGTTATAGCATGAATTGCCCTTTTTTGATTGGAATGATACATATAAATATTGATTATAAAGGGAATGGATCAACAGGTAAAGGTCACTCATTAAAAATATTTCTTTTTGAATCAAGATGGTGACTTGAATTTTGCTTGATTTGATTAAATTGAAACTTTATCAGATGAACGATACAAGGTAAGGAAAGGGACTATTGATTTTGAGTTCATTAGGTCACAGTAACTGTTACTAGAAATCGAGAGAAAAAAGTACCCATATGGTAGCTCGAGTTACTCTTGCTTAATTAAATGGAAGCTTATACAGATGGATAAGTAAGGGAAGCTGATGAAGTCTATTGATTTTGTGTTCAAGAGGTCAAACTTAGGCCAAGATCACTTATAAATAGAAAAGTTTTTGGAAAATGGTTTCTTGATGGTAACTTGAATTTTGCTTGATTGATTGGAATTAAACTTATAAAGATTGATGATATAAGGAAGGGGAAGAAATCTTGATTTTGGAGTCAATAGTTCAATGGTCAAGATCACTTAAAATAGTAAAATTATGGTAGATTAGTTTACAGATGGTATTTTAGTATCTCTTGCTTGATTGGAAGGAAACTTATACAGATGAGTGATAAAGGGAAGGAAAAGAAGCATATTGATTTTGGGATCAACAGGTCAAAGGTCAAGGTCATTAAAAAAAATTGGTAAATGTTGGATAAATGGTTTCTTGATGACAACATGAGTTCCACTTGATTGATTGATTGGAATGAAACTTGAACAGATGGAAGAAATAGGGAAAGTAGCTTATTAATTTTTGGGTCAATAGGTCAAGGTCACTGTTACTAAAATGCATATTTTTTTCAAATGTTCTAGATGGTTGCTTCACTTAAACCACACTTATACAGATGGATGATATAGGAAAGGGGAAGAAACCTTTTGATTTTGAGTTCAAGAGGTCAAAGATCACGATCACTTAAATTTTTTGGAAAAATGGTTTCGGATTGTAACTTAGAGTTTTGCTTGATTGGTTGGAATGAAAGTCAACTTGTATACATGGAAGATATAGGAAAGGGAAAGAAGCCTTTTGATTTAAGTTCAAAAGTCAAGGTCACTGTAACTTAAAATGGTAAAATTTTGGATAAATGATTTCCTGATGGTAGTTTGAGTTTTCCTTGTTTGATTGGGATGAAACTTGTACAGATGAATGATATTGGGAAGGAGAAAAAGTCTTTAGATTTTTGGTCAACGGTTCTAATGTCAAGGTCACTTTTTAAAAACAGAAAATTAAAAAAAAATGCATCTAGATTTTTATTTGAGTTTTTCTTGATTGATTAGAATGAAACATGTACAGATGGAAGATATAAAGAAGGCGGAAAAGCCTTATAATTTTAGTTCCAATGAGTTGAAGATAAAGGTCAGAAAG